GTATCTAAAATTGCACTTGTACTTCTTTAGTTTAAACCATAAAAATTTAACAATTCATAAGATGGTGGAAATTAATATTTCTTCAGAGAAAATTAATAATAAACATTTAAATATTTGGGATTCTGGATGTAGTTTTGTTTAATCGTCGTTTGCTTTGGTTTATAATTTTCTATTATTTGAAGTTAAAGTCACCGATTTTCAGATACTAATTTAAATATATTCCAGAAATTCCATTTAATAACTTATTTATTCCTGCATGTTTATATCTATGTATATTTTTTGATGATTTTTAATAGTTTATTTCTTTGTTAAAAGATTATGGATTGAATTAACTTGTAATTTTCTTATATTCTATTAAATGTTTATTTTTTTAAGAAATTGCGGAATCATTGCTCATTTTTTTTCTTTGTAACTTAATATTTTATTATCTATTGAACAAACAAATTTTAAATACCGACTTTTAGTAATGTTTCAACCTTGTCAACCCTTTTCATCTGCTTAGGGGTTGAATTTCGAAATATCTTTCCTGATTATTCCTTATATGTATCATAAAGGAAACCTTTGTGCAAAATTTTAGCTACCAAAAGGTCGATGATGAGTCAGGAAGGTGTTTTATTCTTACACATATATAGGGTGAAAATTAAAATTAAGTAACGCATAATTTCAGTAGTTGATGTTTTCAGCCCATTTTTAGTTTCTTATATCTCTTTCGTGTAGGTTTTATTTAATGGCAACTTATGTTTTTTATTATTGATTTTGGTAGGATTTTTTATTTCTTTTCCAACCGTATAAAATTTTTAATATGTTGTGTTTGAAGAAAATCGAGGAATATTGTATTACTGATTTTGGTAGGACTTTTTATTCCTTTTCCAACCGTATAAAATTTTTAACGTTATATTTGAAAAAATAGTGAAAAATAATCACAAAGTTCAAGTATTAAAAATTCATCAAATTGAGAAAAACTTTTTAAATATAACATTAAAAATTTTATCGATGCTGTCATTAAAAAACAGGATAAGAAACTGAAAATAGGCTGCTTAATATACTTATTGAAAAATTTAAATCGCTGATTTTGAGAGTTTCCTACTGAATTTCCACACTGTATACTGATTTTATAATTCTACCAAATCTAAATTTTCGACAAGTCGGAATACCAGTCAGCTGTTGTGCTAAGATTAGAGATTTTGTATGAAATTATTTCTAATTACACCCTGTACATGTTTTTAACGCCCTTCAAAACTATATCTATTTGTAAAAGGCGCATGTTCGTTAGATAAGCAACAAGATTCTTTAGCTGTCGTTCACGTTTTCTACATGAATAATAGAAAGTAGATCGGGCGTTATCATATTTTATTGTATTTTTATACTAATTGTTAGTATTAAAGGTAAATGGATTTTATTTTACTTATTAGATTAATTGTCATTGCCTTAATTTCTTTATACTTTTATGTAAATTACAAAAAAATTTCATTATTTTATTACAATATCAGGAAAAAAACAGCCGAATTAGTTAGCTAAAATACAAAAGTCCTGCAGAATAAAGCAACAGATTAATTCAAACTTTCTATGTATACATAACAGGTAATCGATTTGTTGCAAAGATAGGTCTGTCTTAGGGCAATTGCGGAAATTCGAGTACAATTATTGTACCTCATTATTTTTATTACAAAAGAAAATGCATTTCTGTAATCAAATTAGTTTTGAAAGCGAATAATACAAGAATGTAGCTAATATTTAGATTGGTCATTATTTACCTTATTATTTCATTAAAAATTGAAAAATAGGACACAATTTTTTTTCTTGTCATCAACTGATTTAACTTTTATAATTACTGTTTCTATTAAAAAAAAACAAGTTGGCGTTATTCTAATTCTTAATGTAATTAATTCGCTTTTTCTCTTTCTTTACAANATTATTTACCTTATTATTTTATTAAAAATTGAAAAACAGGACACAATTTTTTTCTTGCCATCAACTGATATAAATTTAGTAATTTGTATTACATTTCTAATGTTTGATTCTCTTCGTTTATACTAAACGTATTTTTGACACATACAGTGTAATATAAAGTATTTGTTTCTTTTGCAAAAATATAGTATTACATATTTGACATTGACAACTATTAATGAGTTCAATTTAATTTTTGATTTGTCCTTTAACATTCAGTGTTCGTTTTGTAACTGCAAATTTTATTTTGTAGGTCTAATTTTTAATTATACCCTGTATATATTTGTAAGACATTTGAAATTTCCATTTGTCTACGGCGCAAGTTCGATAGATTTTTTGTACCTTAATAAGTGGTAAACACGTAAATAGCTCACCGGCTTTTTATCTACGTTTTCGTTACGGTTAATAAATGTTTTGCTTCGTATTACTAGTAATAATATATTTTGCCTCGTTTGAGGTAAATTTATTGTATCGTTGTTATTATACCTGTTATTTCTGTTACGATTTTATAAGGAGATTAAAATAATGGGTTACTATTGGGAAAAACTTGACAGAAATTTGTGCAATAAGCTGAATGCCATAGAATAAAAGCAAATTATTCTTAATCTTCTTGATGGTTAATGCTGATCGTAAATTTTAATTGAAATAATTAAATAGATTTATCGCAAGGAAATTCAATATGTTTATCGTCATTGCATTGTTACTACTATTTCATTTTTAACGTTCTAAAAGGATTTAGCAAACTATTGTTAAAAATGCGTTCGTTTAATTGATACAAACAAATATTAACTTAAACTTTAAAGAAATAGCTAAACAACAAACAAATTACACATATGTATTAGGTTTGTTAATTATGAGTTTAATTCTCAATTCCACTTTTATTGGATTAATAGGGCATGGTTGTGGTTCTTACCTTTTTAACAAACGGGGTACCTAATAGTTGTCTTTTATGTATGTTTGAGTTAAATAAACAATATTGGGAGTATTGCATATTTAACAAATTTAATTCGATTTTTGATTTATTCTTCAAAATTCGGCGACAATTTATAACCACACATTCTTTTTGTTCAACTCATTTTTAATCACACCCTTTAAATGGTTTTAACGTGTTAAGACATTTCAAAACAATTTCCATGTGTCCTGCAGCACAATTCCGACAAATAACATTAGCGATAATAAGCTTTGAGTGTGAGTACTAACATAGTAATTGGGAAAATTTGATAAAAATTCTTTCTAGTGGTTCAAGCCAATTGTAAATTTCACTTGAAATAAGCTTAACTCTATCGCATATTTTGCTAATTGTGGATTTATAATAACAATACAATGACATTTATACCATTTACGTTTTTTTTTTCGTATATTTTTCAGGAAAAGTTTTGTGAACCAAAACTAACGCAACCTCATCAAATACCTTGCCAAGAAAACTATTGGAATTGGGGGACTTATTTACAATCCAGGCAATATTTTGGATAGTCGCAACATAAAAAAGATGAGTTGAATTTTTTATTTTTATATTTTATTACGTACCCATTGTGGGTACATGCTATAGCTATCCGAGCAGTCTGCACTTCATAAAATATGAAATACAATTTTCGCTTTGTGCGATATTCCTTCTTTATTAACTTCCCAGTAAATTAAGTGCGCGGGTATGTGTGTTTGTGTGTGTGTGTGTGTGTGTTTGTATGAGTGTGTGTGTGCGTATGCGGGTATATGCTTGTGCGTGATCATGTGTGTGTGTGCGTGCGTGTATCTGTGTGTGTTTTTATTAACAGAAAAAAAGTTACCAGAAATTTCAAACTTTTATAATAAGTAACTTGAACTTGAGAATCACTTTAGCGTAAGGTTATTCAAATTCACTAAATGGTTATCGAGGAGAAAATGAAAAATTAGTTGAAAATCTCTTTTTTACTTGATAATATAATGATAATATTTATAATTGTCTGAAATAAATGCAATTTTAAAGTTTTAATTATTATTTAAACATATTACAAAGTTTTACGCTCATTATTAATAAAGATTGAAACTAAATATTTTTTTGTTTCGAAGTTGAAATCAAGGCATATTCACTGCCAAATATCAGTTAAAATTTTTCCATATTGTTCGTTATTTCTTATTTTATTCAGTTTTCTGTCAAATTCCAAATTTTCTCTCAAATCGTATACGTTTTTTTTTAGTATAGGTAATATTTATTTACCTCATGATATGCTGCAAAATCTAATTAATCACGAATTTCTAATTTTATGTACTCTTGTCTCTGATTGTACCTCCCAAACATCCCATGGTTGTTTCTTCTTTATTACGTACCTATAATGATGGTAAAACTTGATTTATGAAAAATCGTTATTCAAAATGACAAATATTATAATCGTTAAATTTAACGATTTACGGTTCATAATATTCAACATTTTTAGATGAAGGATTGCATTAAGATTCATAAAAAGGTATAAAATGGAAAACTATAGCGGTCATATATAAATTCAATAAGAATTTAACATTCAAGATAAACCGAGGCGTTTTATTAACCGCGTCAAATACTTTGGCAGCTTTTTATTATTTTCTATCGTATTATTCGTCGTGGAGTGCATTTAGACTAAGTTTGCAACCAATATTTTTTGTAAAAATTAGGTATTACTAAATCTTTAACTAATTTTTTCAAAAAAATGTTCTGGATTTTAATTTTCATTCATACTTAGAATTTCTTTTCTCATTTTCTCGTTAAACCTTTTGTTACTATTGCAGTTACATTTATTTTATTATATCGTAACTAAAATAGCAATTCCTTTTTTCAATACTTTGATCTACATATATTCAAACAAGAATTGCCTTAATGATGTATAACAAAAATACTGCATATATTAAAAAAAAATGTCCAAGTTGTCATATTTCAAAATCTTTATCACTTGTCCTTTTTAGATTGTTTATTTAATTTAATTCAAATTTTAAAAATCGCATATAAATAGATATGTATAAGTAAGTCAAGAAAAATATTAAGCACATTGAACTTGCTATCGCATTTTTTCACATCGTTATGATTATTGTATTTTATTGAAGACATTAATTATTGTTGCAAACTTGGTTAAATCGGGTAAAACTTGTTGCATCTTTTTGTGAGTGGTGTTGTTTTCATCCATCAAGACCAGCAAATGGGTAAGCATTGACTGTAAAATGTTATAGCTAGGAATTTATTTAGGAAAGAGTAGGTATTACAAAAATATAAATGTTAATTTAAAAGTTTTACAAAAAATAATAAACATTCGAAACCAAGAAACCAGTTATTAAAATAGCCGTCTTGCTAATAAATTATTGTTAAGTTAAAACGGAAATCGTGTAAATGAATAAATTTTACGTCTAACTCGCAGTAGGTAATTATTATGCCAAAAAAGGAAAAAATCATCTAGTATGTCTTAAAAGTTCTCTTTTTTTTAAAATTACAACAATTTAAGTCAACATATTTTTTAGAATTAATTAATAAATTTAGGGCATACTAGTCGCTATCCTTTTCATTTCCGAACTGGAGCTTCACGGTAACTGCACTAATTACTTACTTAGATAGGAATTGGCAGGTATTGCGCAACAATGCGAACAATCATGCTATACTATTAACACCGGCAGGTATTTCGCTATGCGATAATCATGCTATGTGTTACGCTAAGTAATGATTAGGGTTTTTACCGCTTTTCTTCGGGCCTACTAATGGGAACATCAGTTGATGGTGGAGGACGGATGACGTATTGAGCTTCCTGACACCACAGCAGGTATTGTCTTCACATCCTTCGATCGTTCAATTAATTTGGACGATCAAAAAACTTTTGCTTTTGTCTTCCCTTCTTTTTTGACATAAGTATAAATTTTTATTTTTCAGTACTAGAAAGTACGCACCTAATATGCTTTGACGATTTATTTAAAGACTTCTTTCTTGAATTTTATTTGATGTTTAAAATAAATTATTTGATTGTGAGAATTATTTTGAATATTTCGCATATAAAAGTTTGAAATAGTACTAGGTTCTATATCTAGGTCCCTTAGGTACTCTTCAGTGATTGAAAATTTTATTTGAAAATCTTCAAATAGGTAAGTGACGTATTTTGAGCATATTAATGCTAATAAAATGCGACGATCGTTCCTATGCCATAAGTGCTTATATTTAAAAACTGATACAAACGAAAAGTTGAAAAAGTAAGAAAAAAAAAATACTTAAGGACTGACTAAAAGAAAACTTATGATTATACATCTGATTGTGACAAAAATAATAAGTTATATGATTTCGCCCAACATGGTGAACACCCACATTCTCTAACTAATTATATGATTAAAATACGAAATGTGCTTAGTTGATGTACATATTGAGGTTCTTAAACATTTTTCAGAATCCAGTGGTTCTATGTAGTTTTTCTAGAATTAACATTTTCTTTGTGCTTAAGATTATTAGGAACTGTTAAAATATTTCAATTTAAGATGTGTTAAATCCGTTACGTTACTATAAATACCCACATCATTTGGCTGGCATGATGTCAAGATCTTTTTCTATTTAGTACCAATTTCCCACCCCTTGTCGCTTTGACGGCCCTTTTCAAAACTTTCATTTCGAGTTTTAAAAGCCCAAAATCAAAGCAGTCATTCTTTTTCAGGCATCGTGGGACCAAAATTTGACAACTGCATTTGTGTAGGTTTTCATTTGCAGTTGTCAGCTTAGTCATTGATTTCGGTCAATTGACGATTTTTTGTGGACTACAACCTTAGGTTTCACGACCTAAAACCGTAGTCCTGACCTTGACCAGCAATGGTCGAGGGAAACTCAATCAAGTTAGTACCAATTTCCCATCCTTTGTCGCTGACTTTATGCCAGTTTTGACGTTGCTCCCAGAGCTTTTATTTCGGGTTTCAAAAACCTAAAATCAAAGCAGTCATTCTTTTTCAGGCATCGTGGGACCAAAATTTGACAACTGCATTTGTGTAGGTTTTCATTTGCAGTTGTCAGCTTAGTCATTGATTTCGGTCAATTGACGATTTTTTGTGGACTACAACCTTAGGTTTCACGACCTAAAACCGTAGTCCTGACCTTGACCAGCAATGGTCGAGGGAAACTCAATCAAGTTAGTACCAATTTCCCATCCTTTGTCGCTGACTTTATGCCAGTTTTGACGTTGCTCCCAGAGCTTTTATTTCGGGTTTCAAAAACCTAAAATCAAAGCAGTCATTCTTTTTCAGGCATCGTGGGACCAAAATTTGACAACTGCATTTGTGTAGGTTTTCATTTGCAGTTGTCAGCTTAGTCATTGATTTCGGTCAATTGACGATTTTTTGTGGACTACAACCTTAGGTTTCACGACCTAAAACCGTAGTCCTGCCTTGACCAGCAATGGTCGAGGGATTTAATTTAAATTAGTGCCAAACTCCCTACCCGATGTCGTTGACTTTGGTCAGCTTTGACGTTCCTTTCCTAAAGCTAAGATTTTGGACTTTTAAAACCTAAAATCATGGTGATCAATTTCGGGCATCGTGGGAAAGCCCTGACTTGCGACTGTCATCGCAGTTATTGACTTTGTGCCAACTACTAACGGCTTTTTTGAGAATGTATAAGTGTGGTTCACCCCTTATTAGTAATGGTCGAGGAAACTCTGATTTAAGTTTCCCTCGCCTTGTTATTGATTTCATGCCAGCTTTGATGTTTCTTCCCCAAATGTATGAGTTTAGATATTAATCTTAATATTGTTGCATTATTGCAGGTGTTACATACCTATTGTTTGATTTTTATGTGTATAGTGAAGTGCCTTTTTATGTAACGATATTTCTGTGTAGATATCGATGGGGATGTTTGCTTACTAAACTGGACATCAGCCTGTATTATTCGTATTGGAGCAAGTTTTTGAAGTGCCTGAACTACGTCGTGGTAATTAGAAGGGTAAAGTACAAAATGCAGTTATTAGAAAATATCACTTTTGATGATATAAAAACAAAAAGAAGAAATGTTTTCTTGTTTAAATTCTTCTTAAGTCATTGCATTTTAAAATTGGATTTAAAAATAGTGTTATATTGTCTTTAATAATATAATTTTTAACACTATTTGTTTTAGGTAACAACCAAGTTGTCATAAAATTATGTATAAAATACGCTTTCTATATAAATTATTTATTAACAATTTTCATGTGAAATGGTCAATTGAAAGCGTATTTTTTACTTAATTAAACGATATTTCTCTGTAGATATCGATGGTGATGTGTTTGCTTACTAAACTGGACATCCGCTTGTATTCTTCGTAACGGAGCAACTTTTTGAAGTGCCTGAACTACGTCGTGGTTAATTACAAGGGTAAAGTACAAAATGCAGTTATAAGAAAATATCACTTTTGATGATATTAAAACCAAAAAGAAGAAATATTTTCTTGTTTAAATTATCTATAATACAACTACTTAACGTCATTGCATTTTAAAAGTGGATTTGAAAATCCTGATTTATAATGTTATATTGTTTTTAATAATATAATTGCTAACACTATTTGTTTTAGGTAACAACCAAGTCGTCATAAAATTGAGTATAAAATAGGCTTTCTATGTAAATTATTTATTAACATATTTTATGTGAAATGGTCAATTGAAAGCGTATTTTTTACTTAATTTTGTGTTTCAATGAGAAATTGGGTCCAGTCCAACTTTCCATCAAGTTCTGGAGTTCAGATTTTTGGTGCAACTAAAAGTGGAATATTCTTGACGCTAATAAGTTATCTTTCTTCCTATTAACATGGTCAATGAAATACTTATTTTAAAAATAGTCTCTTTTTAACTTCTAAACATGCAATTATTGAATAAAATAATTTTAGAATGAAGCCGATCCAGATCCAGATCTAGATCCAGATCCTGCCTGTATGCCACAGCTCCGCTTAAAGAGATGAAAAATGGGAAGATGTGTCATGTCAGGACAACAGGGAGAAATCACCTTCTGGACATTTTAGTTGTGTTATTGTAATGTTCAGGTATATGATTACTGCTTAGAGTGCTAAATATTCGTTAAAAGATGAATTATCCTTATTTAGTAAATATCTTGTTGCATATAATGAATAATTTTTGTATTTAAAGATTTAATTAGTTAAATTGATTTAGTTTGTTGTATTGAAAATTAACTGTAAGCATTAGTTTAAGATATTTGTGTATTTATTTAATAAGATTAATCTGTTTACTAACTTAGTATAAGTCTTAGAGTAATTTAATTTTAGATAGATTAAGTAGTTAGTAGTAATTAGTTTAAGATATTTGTGTATTTAATAAAATTGAGGTAATCTTGTTGCTTACTTAGTATAAGAATTAGAGTAATATAATTTTAGATAGATTAAGTAGCTAGTAATAATTAGTTTAAGATATTTGTATATTTAATAAAGTAACCGTCTTACTAACTTAGTATAAGTCGTAGAATAATATAGTTTTAGATAGATTTTAAGTATTATTAAAGGTAGGAACGTGTTATTATTTTTATTACGGTAATCTTTGTAATTTCGCAAAACATTCATGTAAATAAACATACGCTTTTTTTCTTCTGTAAATTAGTAATATTAATACAAATACAACTTCCTACCACGTCCCCACGATCGACTCGCGAAATTACAGATTCCTGTAATTTCGTGTAATTTCGAGTGATTTTTGGTGCTGCCACCTGGCACGAAACCTCAAAACTAAAGATAATAGCGATGATAATAACAATAATTCTTGGTTTTGGGGCTTCATGGTAGGTGGCGACACCGTAGCATTTGCAGGTCATTGGTAAACCAATATTTATGGAGCTCAAGCCAGGTATATTGGGTTAGGGGGCGGGCTTCAAGGGGGCCCCCTTCTAACCCATTTATCCAGCCCTACAAGCTTAAAACCTTTAAATAAAGAATCTTAAATAAAGAAAGAAAGAATCTTAAATAAAGAATCTTAAATAAAGAAAGAAAGAATCTTAAATAAAGAATCTTAAATAAAGAAAGAAAGAAAGAAAGAATCTTAAATAAAGAGGCTACAGGAATCTGTAATTTATTACAGGAATCTGTAATCTTAAAATGAAGGTTCAGCTACCCAATCATAGATGGCGCCACCAAAGTTCACAGTTAATTCCAAGATATTACTATACTACATTTTGAAATTTGTGTAACCTTGAACGAAAGATTCATATACCAGTATGAATGGATTAATGTTCAGTTTACAGAAATCTGTGACCTTGAATGTTAGATACGAACACCAGTATGAATGGATAAATGTTCACTTTACAGGAATCTGTGACTTTTAATATTAGATTCCTATACCTGTATAAATGGATAAATGTTCAGTTTACAGGAATCTGTGATCATGAATATTAGATTCCTATACCAGTATGTATGTATAAATAAGAAGTTTACAGGAATCTGTAACTTGATTCAAACATTCATAAAAAGTTACTGTAATCTGTAGCAGTAAATATAACTAATTAACACCGACAGATTCAAACCATTCATGCAGTATAAAGCTTCAGTTTACAGTAGTCTGTAACATAATTTAAGTTTACAATCCAATCTTTATTAATAATGTAAGCAACCTGTAACAGTTAGGTTGCAGGAATCTGTAATTGAATGTAATTAATGAAGAAAATATTAGGAATTAGATTACAGATCCCTGCAGAATTTTACAGAAACTGTGTAAAATAAAACGAACTGTAATTAATATAAAGTTTATTCATAATAAATAGATACTTACTTGGGTAAAATTACTCATTCCTTTTTGATCTTCTTGATAGATATAAATAAATGATTTTAAAAGAAATAGGGATAACTGTTTAACATTTTTTTTACCGTCCTGAAAAGTATTTTATATGCAACTGTTTAATTAGTGCTATATATAATACTGCCAATTTCGTTTTGTATGTGCCAACCATTTACAAAAGTTGTAAGAAATATTATTTTGTTTTATGTCTACACATTTTACAAAATAAATAAAAACTATGATTATGACTAGAACTTTGTGCAGTACTACACAGAATTTCAATATATATCTACTAAAAATCAGCACAAAAAGTTACATTAAAATACACGTACATAAAATATGTATACCAAAAATCTTTTGCTAGGTATTAATTATAAAACATACATTTGCAATAATAAATAATTCTAAATAAGTGTACCAAAAGGTTTCAAAGATATAAATAACGCTTAAAAATTGATTATAGAAGTAAATCTTATTCACATTATTCACACTAATGGGTTGTACAAAATGACATTTGGAAACGAATTTTTCATTCATTGACAGAGAAAATTAAATACATGAAATATTCAAAAGGTTTAACAACATCTAATACTTTTTGGTTACTAATGGTGTCCTCATAAAGGAGAAAATGCAAAATTTCTAAAATGATAAGTGTTCCCAGCTTTTAAAATATATTTTTTAGATAAGGTATTTTAAAATGTTGAGTTTTAAAAAATTAAAAGAAGAAATTGATTAACATTGAGTTTCTGATACAATTGAACAAAAAATACATAATCTAGTGATCTTTCTTCTCTCGCTTTTTCCTTTTCTTCTTTTCTTTTGTCTGTAAATCTTTTTGTTTTTTATTGATACAATTCCTACAGTACCAATCTTCATTATCGTCAGGGGGAACTTGGATTCCAACACAAACCCTTTAATAAAAAGAACTGTCATAGTCGCTCTGCGTGAAATTAGTAAAGTAATAGGAAATACTAACCAATGATACCATGCATCACAATCATCGCAACCTATCATAGGACTACCATCATCTTGTTTCCCACATGCTGGACAAATCCACACTTTATTACCTTCGGCATCCTACATCAAAGAAACAACGTAACTTGAATAAAGTGCAGTACTCGTACAAAATTGTTTATACGACTTCATTAAATACTCAAATCAATTGCNATGTCTGCAAATCGTAAACAATAACTATTTACCAAATTCAAATGTCTGATTTCGTGAAAAAACATTTTTCACTTAATTACAGTAATTACGTAAGATTATTATTCTGTTCTATTAAATTAGCATTAATTATAGTTGCAAACTTGGTCAAATCGGGTAAACATGTTTGCTTTTCGTTTGTGAGTGGTGTTGTTTTCATCCATCAAGACCAGCAAATGGGTAAGCATTGATTGTAAAATGTTATAGCTAGGAATTTATTTAGGAAAGAGTAGGTATTACAAAAATATAAATGTTAATTTAAAAGTTTTACAAAAAATAATAAACATTCCAAACCAAGAAACCAGTTATTAAAANAAGCACTTTTATGAACAACTCATTATTATATTGGCTACCAGGCAATTACGTTTAAGTATTTACAAATATGAATAGCTCATCGCTCCAATAGCTGAAACGCTCTACCACTTATAATTCAAACCTGACCAATAGCTGATAATGATTGCAGGTGCACATGTGAAATGATACTATCAAAAACCTTAAAACTAAAACAAAAAAACTGCAATTTAAATCAAATTACAACAATAATACCACTCTCAGCTTTCAGTTCGATAAAAAGGACTTGCCTTAATTGTGGTTTGCTGTTTTTGTTGTGGTTGTTGTACTAGGTTCTGCTGTTGTTGAGGCAGTTGTCGTATCTGTTGTTTATTTGTTTTTGTCGATTTCGATTTGATTGAATGAACACGAGGCCTACCTGGACCTGCGCCATTTCGAAGTGGAGTAGTAGACAGAGGTGCTGAAGTTACTTCTTCTTTAACCACCATTTCTTCCTCTATTTATAAACTTTTAGCTTAACACTTACTTTGAACACTTCTTTGCCATTGTAATTTAAGAGACTAACATTAATTAATATGCATAAAAAATGGGGAACTCACCTTTTTATTTCTTACCGAACAGAATTATTTAGATCCAATACCCTTCATTCTGACTTAACTATAACAGTCGTTTTATATCAAATTAGACTGGCTCAAAAAAGTGTTTTGTTTCGCGTGAAAATACATAAACCAAAAGGCCATTCAAGATATTTAAAATTCCAAAAAGGTAAAAAGATTGATTTACTTTTCTTTAAATTTCGTGATGTTACAATTGTTTGTGGTTGAAATTATAAATATAATAATATCTTTTTTTTGCCTCCCTGTTAATATTATTTCAAAAATTTTGGAAAAAGTTTGTGTAGCGTGTAAGTTCCCCATAATAAATGTCAAGAGATATTAGAAAATACTATTCACAATGTACAGAAAAATACAAAAGCCTCGAAAAAATACATGTAGTATCTATTTTTACCCTCACCACTACATTCTAAACAAAGCCCACGCAGAACCAAACTAATTGTAAGCAAGAATCTTACCTTTATAAACATGCCGTACTAAAGCCTAAGATAAAGGAATATTCTTTCATACAAAAACTTTTCCTAATAAAACGAAGTTCATGTACTTTTTAGAACACACCTTCATTCCAAAAACAGGGAATAGAAAAACAATACCATTATTACAATTATCTTAGCTGATGAATGAACATGGTGAACAAATGAAATGAGATGTGAAATTTTGGTCAGATTTGATTCCATTATTTGAAAAACGAAATTGTAAATGCTGAGATTTATTTACTTACAATGTAACTGGAAGGAGTATTGTATACGTCAACGTCATAATGAGGTTCCTTTTTAATTTCTTTAGTTCTTATTTTTGGTATTGGTTTGAATACAGGCTTCTTCGAATAAGAATCGGAAGTGAAAATATGGTCAGCAGAAACTGTGCAGCAAAAAAAAGTATTTACCACCCTATTTATGCTTCGCAATTATTTACTAAATACAGCAGTAAATTAATTTGAATAACGAAGCTATAGCCGCCACTTATTATCCAAACTCATAGGTTTAAATCAGTTAAATATATGAGAATTAAGGGATCAATTACTTTCTGTTATGTACTATGAAATATTAAACTAAATGCTTTGTCATGCCTACTTCAAAATACGTTTATATAAATACTAAAGAAAAATAATATTATACTATATAAGTACGCAAATTAAGTAATGTAATTATTATGTTAAATAAATAAAGACGATATTGCCACATATACTTAATGTTAAAAAAAAAAGTGTTATAAAATGCAACAAAAAAAATAGTTGCTAATAAAACGAATAAAACATAACATCTGCATGCATAGAAGTGCACAATTACGACAATTACTAGTATGTAACAATAATTAACAACGCACTTGTTTTCCTTGTAACCATAGAATCTTGCGTGTAAGAGAACAAAAAAAAAATTAACGGAAAAGATTTTGCATCTATTTGTAAAACATGGAAAACAAAAACCTGAAGGACAGCAAATAAGAATAAAATAAATCTTACTATGATTATTAGCACTACTACTTTTTGGCTTAGGTTGACCAGTAACTAATGCAGAAATTTTGGCCAGTTCTGGCGACATTTCTCTTTTTGAATCTGTTGAATCAGGTAACATCGGTTCTTCATCTTTTTTAACAACAGGTTTTATGTTCCTAAAATTAAAATAATAATAGACTATTAAAACTAACTGTCACCAATATCTTACAGTTTTCTTGTTTCGGGTGTATCTGGTCTTGGAGAAGCTGGCCCCAATTTAAGAGTCAACTTGGGCACTGAACCAACTTCCAAATCTACTCTCAACTGCAACAAATTGAATAAAAAAATTAAATATAAAAACAAGAAAAGGATTTCATTTTCAATGCACCTCCTTTTCTTTTCGTTTGTCTTTCTTTTCTTTCTTGATTTTTTCCTTCCTTTCTTCTTTCAGCTTCTTTTTCTCAGCCTTACTTTTTAATTTGTCTTTTTTATTTTTCTTCTTAATTTTTTCTTTCTTGTCTTTCTTGTGTTCCTTTCCTCTCTTCTCTAATTTAGTTGGAGGTTCCTTCTCAGACCCAGTCAAGGGTAAAGTTTTTTCAAGAGAAAGAAGAGGATGGGGTGGTAAAGATTTCACAGAAGGTTCTTCTTGCTTTATTTGCTGCATGAAATTCATGGGCATTCCAGGATGGACAGGAGGTATGTAGGGAGGTTGTCCAAATGTAGATATACCTAAAGGAGGAATAGGTAAATGAGGAAATAAGGAGTTATTTAAAGGAGGAGGAATCAAGCCTGGGCCTGAAATATTAATACATTTTCAGTATTGAATATTAAAAAGTTAATTATTAAAAGTTTACCTGGAAAACTAGGAAAGAAAGAAAATGGTATTGGTGGATTTGGTTTCACATCAACTTGAGGGGCTTCAGGTGTTTTTGGGGGCTCCAAATCTACATCGATAACATCAGTTTCCACTTTATTTGGACTAACATGCTTTGATACCTAAAAATTAAGAACAAAGTGTAAAATTGGTAAAATACATAAATCAGAGACTTCAAATAACAAATAGAGGGAAAGTGAAGTTACAAAAATTATAATTTACCTTCTTCACTTTTGATTTATCTTTTCGTTTTCTTTTTTCTTTAATTTGTAATGGAGGGCTTTGTGTAATCATTTCAGGAGTTTTGGGGGTAGACGGTGTTCCTGGTGGAGAATCATCATCGAAATAATTTCTCTCCACTTTTTCAGGACTTTTTTGTGCCTGTGCTGGCTGAGGCTCTATTAATTCTATTGTAATGTCATTGGACAAATGATGAACTTTGTTAACAATATCAGAAGCTGCCTCATCGATAACAAGATCTGGAGAACTTTCTCTAGATTCTTGTTTTATTTCATCTTTTATTTTCATCACTTTATTCTCCAATTTCTCATTTTTAACATTTGATATCTTCTTTAATATATTTATCTTCTTTTTATCTGGTTCTGTAAATAACTTATCGACATGTACATCTCGATGTCCTGCTAAGTTTTGCTGCTGTTGTTGGGAAGATTGGTGTGACAGTTGCTGAGACTGTTGACTGGGGGACTGTTGAGATTGTTTTGGCACTTGTGGACTCTGCACTGTAGATTGTTGTGTTGTTGCAAATAAAGATTTAATTGGAATAGGAGTAATAGTCGTATTAAGTTTCTCTGTTTTCAGTCTTGCTGCTTCAAGAGCTTTATTAAACTTATTTTGAGGGAGAGCCGAATTGATTTTACTGTTTGGTATCTGAGTTATTTTTATATCATTATTTAGCAACACATTATTCGCCAGTAGTGACGGATTATTAGCATTATTATTCATCTTAACTTGTTTAAGTTTAACAATGTCCTTCATATTAGCTATTTTTTTAATTCTTTCATCTAAACCTGGCTTAAATAGTTCTTTCCCTCCTTTTTCTTTCTTCTTCTCTACTTTTTTCAGTGCTTTTACAGGTTTTTTAATAGAATCAGTAGGCATAACATTATTACTTTGTGGTGTAGGATCAATTGAAACCAGTGGAGTCCGAGATTCTGGAAGTTTACCTTCACGAGCTGGTGATAAAAAACCAGATGTCGTCATCATCACACTACTTATTTCCCTAGTGGGTCTTCCTTCTTCTTCTAAGAGTAACCTTGTTTAAAAAAAATACTTGAACACTAAAAACCTTAACCAATCTTATAAAACACAGTATGTAAATACCTGGGTCTTTTAAAAGGCTCTCCAACTGTTGTTTCTGGCCTTTTAAATATAGGACATGTATTTTCAGAACGTGAAAGATTTTCAGGTTCTTCTTTTTTCTCTTCAACTTCATTATCATTTACTAAATGATACAACACACAATTTCTTTTAATTATCCATGTAGTATATAGTATTTACTTTACCTTCTAACACTGGATGCATTGGTGGTAAATGTTCATGAATATACACTGGTCTTGTAACAACTTCTTTACTACCAGGTTTAAGAAAATTAAGATGATCTTCTTTTGGAATTGGAAACTTTGGTACAGATGTTGGAGGTTCTCCAAAGTCGACATATTTAACATACTCTTCTAATTCCGAAAGATTTACATGAAAATCACGAAATGCTAATGCCAAATGATCCAAATTTGGTTCAATCATTCCAACTAGAATATTTATAAGGGTATAAAATCATCACTTTAATTCTTAATATCTTACATTCGTTTGCATAATCCGCAGTAGATTTTCCAAGTTGTAATAAATAGTGCGACAAGATATCGGTTAAAATTTCCACCGAGGTTGTTTGTACCGAATGCCATCCAATGGTTAGACAAATTTTTGCAACTGCAATCTTAATTTGCTCACGGGAATATTGCGAAGCCATTATCTGTAATATATAAGACAATATGATTCACTTTTACAATTGTAATTTATAAATTAATAATTCTTATTGCACAAAAACATATTTTTTTTTAAAACAAACGCCATTTCCGAAGTCCGACAGACATCTTAAATTTGATGTGTATGTTTGATGATAGATATTTTCTTCGACTTCACCTTCACCCAACTGTGATACAAATTCAACAAGTACGAAAATCCATAAAGTAAATTATTGTCCATAATACCTTCACAACATTTTCAAAAATTGGCGGAAAAACAATTGCTTAATTATTTGCATTGTAAAATAGAAAACAATTGCAAAAGTCAAGAACTGTCTATTAACTAAAACGTCTAATGATAAAATTAAGGGTAAAATTGTGATTTTTTACGTATTTACATCTGAAAAATAAAAAAAAACTGATATCAAAAAACCGTAATTTGCTATAATTAAAAATAAAATAAACCTTGTGACTCTTTTTGCTTGAAGTCACTTTCAATCAAGGAAAAATACCTACTAAAATGAATCAAGAAAGAAAAGAAAATACTATTAATGAGAAATCAGATAATAATTCAGAAAGAAGCAGTTCAGAAGAAGAAAATGATACAAGTGAAATTTGGGAAGATGAAGAACTGCATTTAATAGAAAATATTTTAGACTTTGTTCCCCTGACAAATGTCGTTTCAAAAGAAAATTCAGAAACATTTTTCGTATTAGAAAGAAACGGACGCAACCAAGGACCAAATTCAAGCATAGAAGAACCTAAGAATATCCTTTCCTCTATATGGGCGAATCAAGTAAATGATACTTCAGATACTGATGAATGGCCATTACTATCATTCGAAGAATTATTAAGAAGGCCGGTACCTTCCTCACCTTATTACATGCTTCCTTTAATACCATCTACAATTCCAACTACTCCTTCCACAAGTTTGTATGATCCTGTTTATACTAGTAATAATAGTCGTTTACTTCAAGGGGGGGGAGAAACAAACCAGTCCCAATATTTTCGTAATCACCAAGAGATTTTTCCTGGAACGCTTTCTTCTGAAAATTCAGAATCGCCTTCTGACGACTTTTATAGAAATTTACGCCAAAATTTAGAGCAAGCTATAGAAGCTGAAATTGAACAAGAAATTAATCGATCTCCAAGAAATTATCCTTTGGATTCATTAAGTGATGCTTCTCTTACAAATTCCCCATATTTAACGACTTTACCAATTGGATACTTGCCGATTTCTGGAATATCTAACTTATTTTCACAGGATCAACAAGATGAAGAAGAAACAATTCGATTATCTCGGAGAGAAACTCTTCTACCAGAAAACTTTTTTGATCAAGATTTTCATGAGACACTAAGGATTCCTGATGGCTCAAGACCTTATGAGTTAATGGAACCCTGGAATTTGGAGCAAGTTGAGGAAATTTTTAGAGCTAGTCAGGAGATACAAAGTGGAACATCAAGTGCTTTGCTAACAGGAAGATATTCCAATTTGCAAGAACCTGAAGCAATACAGGGACCTTCATCATTACAGTCATCTGAAGAAATCGACACAACAGATCCGTCCTATATTGCAATTGAACAAAATTTAATGAGACTAATGGATTCGCCAGAAAGTCCTCGAAGCCCTCGAGAAAGACCTCAAAGATTTATTGACCACACTAAAAACCATTTCTTAAAACGCTAATGTTTTTTAATTGATTATAAATTGATTATAAAGTTACATATCTTCTAATCATTCACCACTTACATTTGTTCAAACAAATTGTATTTGAAACCAAATTAAATAAATAGATCATTTTGCAGTCGTTTTGTTGAAATTCTCCTAAAACTGAAGTTGGACACGAATACTTTTGCTGAACAGTTGGCAAATCTATGTTTACCCAGCAAGACAACAAGGTCACACCAACATACATATCTACATAGCGGTATACAGCAGTTACAAGCAAAAGTATACAAGCAATGAAGTAAGTGAATTTGGTACCAGTATAATTTTTTGATATTTACAGCCTACCAGATGGTTTACATTTTATGTTTATATTTATTAGCTTTCTAAAAGTACTGGTGGAGAATTAAAATACAAGAATATTAAGCATATTACATTTGCCAGAAAGTTTGATTTGTTTAAGTTTGATTATTCAATATGGCCGCATTGGCGTACGCATAAGAAGTGCTGTGGAACTGTCGCAGAATACTACCAGTAATTGCAGTAAACATTATGGTGATATTTGATTGAACAGATAATTGATGTACACGGCATTAGATCGTTATTAATTATTAGATTATTGTAAGTAGTTCACGCATGTAACGTTTGTTCTTTGTGGTGACTAAGCAGTATTGCACATTCTTCCTCAAATAACTGTTAACAGTTTTGTTATTTTCATTACTACCTTTTATAAAATATTTAAATTTAATACGCCTTCCTTTAAAAACTTAGTAATATATATATTAAATTGCGTGTTGCATTTGTTTTAATCAGCTGTTTTATCAGTTTGTAATGCACTGCTGCAGTTCATTCTTATTTTGCTTTTTTGAAGACAATACGATGATTTATTTATTATTTATGATGACGATGTACATATTTACTTAGTATTTTTTTTGTAGAACAAGATGGGATTTGTAATTTCAAGTTTGATGATAGTGTACTAGGTAGTTTTATTTTGGTAACATGAGGATCGATCGTAATCGCATTCGCAAAGGTACTTCAGAAATACCCCCTGAATGCGAGGGGCTTATTGAGAAGTTATTACTCTGCAGTCACTTGGAACTGTTGGAGGAATTATCTAAAATCAGTACGTGGACATTTGGAAAATGTGAACTTTATCATTGGATCAACATATTGGATACTTTTGATAGGATACTAGAAGAAGCTGCAGAACCTTTCCCTGATAATAAATGGGCTCTTAATTGTGATGTAAATTATAATAGTACAGTAAGTGAACCAGTATAACATAAAATAAGCAAAAAGTAACATACAAATGATAATTAAAGTAAATCAGTAATTTTTGATCTAAATAAAAAAAAAAAAAAGAAAAATGTACTAAATGTTGCACAATTATAGTTAACTTTTTTGTTTTTAAATGTATTGTGTTATGTATTTGTAACTACAGTCTACCTCTTCATTAATGAAATTTTAAGTTTTTAGTCTTTTTGTAAAAGACACACTGCCTATAGAAATATTATAAATAAATAAAATAAGAAGTCTAGAGATTAATGGAAGCTTAAATATTTTCTTATTTTTTGAATTGTATTGTTTTTATTGAAATTTTATTCTGCTCAAATAGGAAAAGAAACTTCTACTATGGACCCTCCATTTCACTACTTTATTAATCGAACATTCGTTCTCTCGACATTTATACAACTCAATGGAGCATCTGGTGACTTTGTTGAGTTCCAGCGACATGTCTGTCGTTCTTGGAGTCTTAAACTTACTGTACATGTTCTCAAAACGAAGTAATTTTATTACTAGGTTACCTTCTGATAAGAGACAGGCTCTTTTGTCTAGATTACATTATTTAGCAGAGGTAACATATTAAGGATTATTATTTCATTATTGATAATGGCTTTGTGTTTTCTTTTAAAACAGAGTTGGGGTGGAAAGGAAAATGGCTTTGGCCTAGCCGATTGCTGTGATCCTAACAAGCCCATACCCCCTTCAGCGACAACGTTACATTTTGAATTTCACCGAGAACATTCAACAGAAAAAGAAAAAGTTGACCCCAAAGATCCAAAATCAAAAAATATGTGTTACATACATGTTGAAAACGTTGATAAAATACATAAAACGCCGGCCGAAATTATGAAGGGACTTACATGTATATACTATATACCTCCAGATAAAGAGGTACATTGGAAACTTATTGGTTGATTGTTTACTACTGTAACGATTACATTGTTTCTTAAAATTGCAGATGTGGCTTTTCACTCACGTGCGACTAGCTCACCTATTTGCAGATTATAAAAACAGATTACTCTGTGTACAGGCTCGTCTACAGGCTTTGTCTGTGTTAGTATATTCAAATGCATTACAAGATACAGCCCACACCCTACTGTACAATGGACTGTTAGAAGAATTAATAGAGTTAGTTGAACTGAAGCAACCCTACTTAGTGGAAATTAGATCTGCTGCACTTAGAACCCTAACTTCTATTATTCATTTAGATAGAAATCCCCATTTTCCAAAGTAAGTTTTAAATAAATAAATATCAGTAGAACTATTTAAAAAAATATATTATTTTTAACAGAAAACCGGGCTCTCGACTTAATAGCATAATTGACGTGACAGGCGCAAGTCAATACCATGGATTTTTGCCAGTTTTGGTACGTAACTGTATAGCCTCTTTAACAAAACAGACATCAACAAAGGGCACAACTGAGACAAAACCAGAAAACGTAGTGAAAGTAAAAGAAACCGAAGCGCCAGCTGCAGCTGTAGAACCCCTTTCAGGTGGTTCTTCACCAGAATTTAGTGCTGGAACGTCATCAAGTGGTTCGTTTACTGACTTTGGTGATTTTATTGCTGAACCTCCAACAGGACATGAAATGTTAAGCAAGTATATGGAATACGTTTCAGAAGGAGCGGGCAATCAACAAGCTGATGAGTCGCAGTCCAAATTCCCGTTACCTCTTGCTACTGCACTGTTTTCATTTTTGTACCATTTAGCTAGTTATGAAGCAGGTGGAGAAGCCCTCGTGTCATGTGGAATGATGGAATCACTTTTACAAGTTATAAATTGGCATGGGGTAGAGTTGGAGCATATTACTGTAAGTATTGTATATAATATTTTAAAAACTATTCAGTCACAATGTGTATTTATAGTTTGTAACGCGAGCTGTGAGAGTTATAGATCTTATTACTAATATGGATATGCAAGCTTTTCACTCCCATGGTGGTCTTCAAAGTTTTATCAACAGATTAGAGGTAAAAAAGTACTTCAAATTGAATAAAATAATTATACCAAATTAATTGAAATGCTTAGGTTGAAGTAAGTCTTTGTCAAGAAGAGGAATTGTATGAATTTAAAAACTCTCAATCTTCTGAAACACAAGCTAGTGGTAGTAGTAATACAGATAATCCAGAAGAAAATAAGGCAGTAGAGATAGTTTACAAAGCATCAAATCAAGGAAAAACTTGTTTGCCACAAAGAGCAGCCCTTTTGAAGTCCATGTTGAATTTTTTAAAGAAAGCTCTTCAGGATTCCAACTTTTCTGACAACATTCGTCATCTCATGGAAGGCAGTTTACCAAATTCATTAAAGCATATTATATTAAATGCAGAATATTACGGTCCATCCCTCTTTTTATTAGCAACTGATGTGGTAACTGTTTATGTATTTCAAGAACCTAGTCTTTTATCTACGTTGCAAGATAATGGTTTAACTGATATTATTCTACATGCACTACTTTGTAAAGATGTTCCTGCTACACGAGAAGTTTTAGGATCTTTGCCAAACGTTTTTAGTGCTCTCTGTTTAAATAATAGAGGACTGGAAGCATTTGTTAAGTGTAAACCATTTGATCGACTCTTTAAAGTTCTTCTTTCTCCTACTTACTTAGCTGCTATGAGACGACGACGAAGTTCCGATCCATTAGGAGATACAGGTTTTATAATTCTCCATTATCACAGTGTCATTTTAACCAACTTTATTTACTTACAGCATCAAATTTAGGTAATGCTATGGACGAGCTTATGCGCCACCAACCAAGTTTGAAAGCAGATGCTACAAGAGGCATAATTAAACTTCTTCATGAACTCTGTTATTTAGGAACAGAGTCTAAATATGTCTGCTGGAGACCACACAGTAAACAAGATCCTCAAAGTACTTCAAATACACCTAGACCTTCCACTACCACTGAGGGTAAAATTCATAAATGAACTTCAAACCAAAGAGTATTAAATTTCCTTTTAATAGGATCTTCGGACGAAGAAGATGACGATGAAGAAGAAGCCTCAACATCTTCTCAAAATCAGAGTGATTCTCAAGTTCACGGAAGAAGCGATAACAAAACCCCTATTGCTTTAGTCGATTATATTTTGAACGTTATGAAATTAATCGATGCGATTTTAAGTAATAATTCTACAGACGATCACTGTCGTGAATTTGTGAATCAGGGTGGTTTAGACCCCTTATTAAAAATTCTTGGTCTACCCAATCTGCCCGTCGATTGTCCTGTAACAGCGTCAGCCCAGGCTGTCGCATCCGTCTGCAAAAGCATCTTAAACCTTGCGCATGAACCTAAAGTCTTAAAGAAAGGACTGGAACAGTTGAATGAAGTCTTGCAAAATTTAAAACCCCTTTACACGAGATCACCAGATGACCCTCCTGGATCAAAACTATTACACGAATTGGCGAGTGCTACACACTTAGATTCTGCTTTTTCAAATGCAAGTGTAACCCCTCTTCTGCATGCAATGGGAGCTGCACATGGTTATGTTCTAATGTTTGTTCACGTTTGTCGAACTAGCCAAAGTGATACTCGCGCCCTTTCTCTTCAACATTGGGGCTCAGAACAAGGACTTATTGTACTTAAAGGTTTAGCTGAACTTTATACTTCTCTTGTGTGGGAAAGTACTCTGCTATTAGCTTTATGTAGCGAAGATGTTATCCACGGAAAGACATTTGATTGCGATTTTAATCGCGAAGATATGAGGAAACTTAATATTCCAGATCCAGATAGGGTAAGTTGTTTACTAATTTGTTTAAATAATTTTCTAAGACAACAATTGGTTTTTAATAACAGGCCGAATGTACTTGTGCTACTACTGAAACGCCAGTAGACACGACAGCGAACGTCGCTTATGCCATGAGAGGTCTTTCGACAAATCCTCCGCCTCTTTGTATGGAAATAGATGGCGAAGCAATAGCTATCAATAAGCCGACAAGCCAACAGTTAAAATACATAAAACCTCTTCTTGGCGCGTCCTCGCGATTAGGTAGAGCTTTGGCTGAACTGTTTGGCCTTTTGGTTAAATTATGTGTAGGTTCTCCAGTTAGACAACGACGCGGTCAAAATATAGTGTCTAGTCCCCCTTGTCCAGGCCCGTATGCCAAAGCTGTAGCCACCGCTTTAAATTATCTTCTTGCCAATGGTCTGAATGCAGAAAAATTACCTCCAAGTCCTATTCCAAAGTTTAGGTTGACATTCCTTATATGTAGTGTCGGTTTTACGAGTCCCATGCTTTTTGACGAAAAAAGATATCCATACCATCTGATGCTCCAAAAATTTGTCCAACTTGAAGGTCTCACTACATTCTTTAACACGTTCAAATGGGCCTTAAGTGCTGGAGGTACTATTCCTTTTGATGAAGGCATTGAACATGCTGATTTACCAGAAGGTACTGGTGAATTTTTGGATGCCTGGCTGATGCTTCTTGAAAAAATGGTTAATCCGAAGGCCATTCTAGAGTCTCCTCATGTTGTTTCTTCAAAATCGAATTCAGCAGCTTTTAAAATGACAGCATTTGACCCTCTTAAATACCTAATACAAATGCAAAAATTGGCTTTTGATGCTGTTATGCTTCTTTGGGACAAACGTCCTTTACCTAACTATGGATTACGTATGAGCGAATCTATTCTTACCATATTAAGACACATTCTAAGAGCGGAAAAAATTATCAACGAACGTCTGAAAGATATGGACAAAAAATCCGAGCCCGCTGCTACTTCCTCCACAAGTAGAGAAGTCGATGTTAATCAAGATCACTTAAGGCAACTTATGGACATGGGGTTTTCACGTGAACATGCCACAGAGGCTCTTTTACATACTCTAAGTTTAGAGCAAGCCACTGATTACCTTTTAGCACATCCCCCTAACCTGGTAAGGCCAGGAACATCTACTATGGATGTAGATGAAGACGAACAAGTTATGCAAGCAATTGCATTGTCTTTGGGAGATTCGGTATCTGGTAAAAAGAAAGAAGAGTCTGTTGAAGACGATATGACACCATTATCAAGAGAGAAAATAAACGAATTCACCTCGAATGCTTTACAAAATACCTTGTTACTTATTGAACAAATACCGGAAGTTGTTTATAAAGTTTGTGACCTTTTGGTTACAATTATGAAAAGAAACGGACCTGACTTTAGAGACGAAGTTCTAGATAAAATTCTTACCATAATTCGTGGTTATGTTGTAGACATACTCGAAAAAATTTATAACATTTCCTTCAAAGATTTTGTAGAACTTATTTACGATTCACAGAGGGCTCATCGACTGGGGTGTTTCACCCACTTATACGTTTTGTTCTTCGAAGTTCCTTCATATTTTGAAATGCGTATTCCATCCGCCTTAGCAGTTCACAAATCTGGTATGTTAAGAAACATGCTGGCTTTAATTTGTCTAGCAGAACATGCCATGTCAACTGCTGAAAAGAAAGTTGAGCCTAAATGGTTGACACCTTTCTTGCTTCTGTTGGATTCTGTAGGAAAAGTAGCTACTTGCTCCCAAAGAAAATGGAACATGCACTTAGTTACAAATAGAGTTTGGAAGTGGTATGATTTAGTAACTGGGAAGTGGACGCCATACTCTACAACCAACAACAAACTTATTAATGAAGCTTACTGGAATGGAGAGCAAAGTATTAGAGTAACGTGCGGAAGACGAAGATATACCATAACATTCTCAAACATGTTACAATGTAACGACGAAAGTGGAAATAATCGACCAATATCGATGACACCAAGGAACCTCCTTAATGATCAAACTCAAGAACCAATCGAAATGGCAATTGCTGATGATTCACTGTTAAATGAAAAAGAACAAAAACGTTGCAGACCTGTGCCGAATTTGTTAAGAAAACAAAATATAGAACTTGTAAAGATCTGCGTTAAACTTATGCATCTTCAGATTGATAAAGACCTTCTGCATGCCATTATGCGTGTCTGCTTACGTCTTACAAGAAGCTTTGAAATTGCGAATATATTTGTACAAGAAGGTGGTGTTAGATGCTTGTTAAATATGAGACAAACAGCCGCATTTAGTGGCTACGGCCCGCTAGCTACCATTTTAATCCGTCACACTTTAGAAGATTCCCAAACATTGGCACACGCCATAGAAAAGGTGATCAGAGGTCGCACTTTACCGTCAATACCTCCACCTTACAGAGAATTAATGTATATGGTTAGACAGATTGGTGGTGCTGTGACACGATCTCCAGAGACTTTTTTCCAAGTAGCCAAGAACATTTTACGTGTTGATTGTAGTATATTTAGAAGAAACGATGAAATTGATTCACGTTTGCCTATGCGTGCCGAACCATCGAAACATTCTCACCCTCCAAATATGGAAGAGTTTTCTATAAGAGTAATTTACGATTTGTTGAATGTCTTGGTTCAACCTTTGGAATTAGACGCCCCAGATATAAGTGAAGCTTCAGCATCTAAAAAGGTTAATAGCAAACAACGTGAAACTATGTACCAAAGAGCTTCGTCTCTTCTAAGTGGAAATGGAAGTTCAGAAATGCTCAACATCGACAGTCAAGATGATTCGTCTTCTACACCTATTATGAGAGTGAAACTGACTAGAAACGGAAGTGAAACAAATATAGATAAAAAATTGGAGCAAGAAATGGCTCGAAAACCTTTACTAGCAAAGCACACTATTCTGAAAATACTAGCAGACGCCGTCGTTTCTTATGGAGCTGTAGCCAAACTTGTTACAGACTACGTGTTTAAAGCAGGCTGTTCTGAATTTATAACCGAAGACTGTACTGCATTAGCTTTCATGTTTGACAAACTTCTTCCTATAACCGAAAATAGTTCTGATCGCGATTGCTCTATGATGTGTCGTATGCTGATAGCAGCCATAGCATCCTGCAATCACTCACCTGAAGCGCAAATAACATTGGTCGGAGAAGTAAAATCTGCCTTAATAAGGGCACTCATGATGCAAGAATCAATAGAAAAACACACCCAAGTTCAGTTGTTAACTGGTATTATTTGGACAGTAATTGAAAATTGCCCACCTGCCAATAACCAAATGAGAGTCCACAAAGCTCAGTCAATGAGTAGTGGTCAAATGAATAACATGGTGAAACTGATGTTAAAAAAAGGAATTTTTAATGATTTGGCCCGGGTTCCACATTGTCTTGACTTGTCAAGTCCGAATTTTCCAGCTACTGTAAACAGTGCTCTTAAACCTATGGAGGCTCTGTCTAGAATTGTGAATCAACCTGTGACTGGTAACGCATCATCAAATAAATCAAACAAAAAGAGCTCTCATAATAATTTAGATGATACTGGGGTCACACAAAGTGGTACCACATCAACCGAAGCTACAAATGCACAGGTATAGTTCCGTTAATATAATTCTATTTTAATTAAGTTATTTCAATAATTATTAAATGTTTAGGGTGAAGAAACCATCGAGGATACAGAAAATACAGACCACGACATTTCTGCAGTAGCTTCAAGTTTAGAAGCAAATCCGGAAGCAACAAATGTCCCCGAAGAAAGCGACCATGTTTTAGTAAATATAATGGATCAGTTACTCGAAAGAGGAAATGGTGATGGTGGGAGCCGCAGTTATAGTGAAGTTGCGTCCAGTAGAAATCATCATGGTATGGATATTGATGAAGATGCTAACATGAGTTATGACAATGAAAGAGACGCTACTGTAAGTTAAAAGTAAAAGTAATTAATAATACATTCCTTTAATGTTTATATATATAGGAAGAGCTTATGAGTACAGACTCTGGAGACTCAGATTCAAATGCATCTGATCAGGAAGTAGAAGACGACGATAACGAGAATGATGTGGATGATGAAGATATCGACGAAGGGGATGAAAACGACGAAAATAATTACGACGATGACGACAATAACGAGGGTATAATTTAACCCCTTTTTGTTCCTGTTTATAGTTTTTGTTCTTTTTTTTTTTGTTCCTTTTATTTTAAGTTTATTTGTTTTACAATTTTCAAGGAACGGATAATTTCGATGATAATTCAGGAATTTTCCATATAGCTTCAAACACAGACAGGGACGATGATGACATTCTAATGATTCAATATGCTGAACATGATACTGATAACGAAACCCTTCCTCGTGTACGCTGGAATGAAAATGGATTTGCTGTTCCAATATTCGATGAACCCAGCAACAGTGCTGATCAATCAGGTTAGCTATTTACATTTTTCATTTGTTTGTTCTCTTGTCAATTTAATATAAATTTCTTTAAATTTAGTTCCGATTATTCATCCCCTGTTGGTCTCCCGTCACAACAACGAAAATACAACAACCACTGCTAACAGAAATCAACGTACCAATCGCGCAAGAAGATACCAGTACCTACACTTCAACCCGAGAAATTCTAATCCACCTGTTATCTTACAAAGGTAAATTGGGTTTTTGCAGTGTTTTGCAATTACATTCTAGATATGCATTGTCCCTTTCTAGACTTCTGGGTCCAGCAGCGGCTCAGAATCTTACTCTCGGAAGCAACCAACTCATGAATTCTCCTGGTACCCATGAATCAGCTAGAGTAGTGGTTATGGACAACTTCAGCTTATTTCCAACCGCAGAAGAACAAATAGATCTTGTTGACCAGTCTGGATACTTGTTTGGTCCTAGTTTAGCAGCCACATTAAACTATGTACCACCGTTCCTTCACTGGTGGAATGAAGAATCAAAATTATTAGACGTAGAGTCTACCTATGACATAACCATTTTGGTATGTTATAAACTAATCTGTCCCTTGATCAAAGCGAGAAATGTTGAAATGGCTGAAAGAAAACGTAAACGAGAAGAGGAGGAAACTAAGTCGAACAAAAACAAACAGAAACCTGAGGAAGGTAAACATGAAGAGCCCCAAATTAAGAATGCATTCGACTTAAATGTTACTCTTCCTTCTGTAGAAAATGTTGAAATCGACTCTGATAATAACTCAGAACATTCTTCTGCACAAGTTTCACAGGCAAATAATGAACAATCTCAGTCAGGTAGTTATATTTAAAAAAAGCATCTTGCGTGCAATTGTAATTAATCTGTCTATTAATTTACAGAACCCGAGCGAACGATAATATCAATTCCTACACTTGCAAATGTGGAAAATACTTTACAATCTAACAGTGTCAACCAGCAAGCATGGCAAATTGATCAACCAATCCCTGACTTGTCACAGAATCTAGGAAATAACGAAAACGGTTCCACCTGGGTGCATGATTCTGATTGCATTACCGTGGGTGGCGAACAGGAAAATCAAATAGGACAACCGATTCCTGTCGTTCATTTACCATCAAGATTTGAGAATGTAGAGAATGAATCAGGTTGGATGCGCGAAAGCAACGACGCTATTCCTAACAGAACTTTGCGTAAGTAAATGTATAATATTACCTGTTTACTTTTTTGTTATTTTTAATTACATTTAGAACAAATAGCAGATGCAGATCGAGTCCTACAAGCACTGGGAAATATCGAATTTACTTCATACGAGCCTATTGAAGTTCCTGATTTTGTTTCATCTTCCAATTCAAGAGACGAAATACCTCAATTGCCACAAAATTATTTTTCTCGCATTCCTACTCCTCCACCATTAGATTTTGGTTCAGGAGGAGCTACTAATGCTCCTGATGATAGTAGACTCCCTGTTTCTAATGAAAATGAAGAACTAGAAGATGCTGAAGACAGTGAAGATAATGAAGAGGATCGTAATGCAGCAAATGCAGAGCCTAGATTTTCGACGTCCATGTACCCGAGCATTTTTTCGCTGATAACAGTTGATGAAACAAATGCTTTACAACAAAGTTTAGACAGTTTACGTTCTAGTCTTCGCGAAAGGCAAGAAATATTTGAACGACGACGTCAAGAACAACAAAATGTGACTCAGCAATCTGAACAACAGCAAGAAATTAGCGACACAGTCGTGCTGGATTCTAATTCATCTGAAAGTGAAACATCTTCAAGTAATGTCGCTGAAACTGCTTCTGCTGCTGCCGCTACTAGCAGAACGGTTACAACTGAAAATGCAAATCCTACATCTTCAAATAACGATTATACTACTGCAACTGATGATAAAAACCCAGTTCCTCAAACTCAAAATCAAGAAGAAAGCTCAGGTGCAAGTCAAATACAAACGGAAGCTGCAAGTGCTAATACTGATGTCATAATGGTAGAAGAAACTGCAAGACCCGCAGATGGAAACGAAGAAATCCCCGAAGGTGTTGATCCATCGTTCTTAGAGGCTCTGCCTCCTGAAATGCGTAGAGAAGTTCTAGATCAATGTAGAATGTTACGACTTCAACAACGTGCTTCTGCTCCCAGTAGCAGTTCTGATCAAGCAGCAGCCGGAAGTTCTGCAGAAGTAAGTCCGGAATTCTTAGCTGCATTACCACCTTCTCTACAGGAAGAAGTGTTGACCCAACAAAGATTGGAACAACAACGTCAAGCTGCTGCTCGAGCAAATCCTGATGAACCAGTTGACGCCGGAGCGTTCTTTGAAACTTTGCAGCCGTCTCTACGGACAATGATCTTGTCAGACATGGAAGATTCACAAATGTCGGCTCTTCCTCCAGACTTAGCAGCAGAAGCGCAAACCTTAAGAAGAGATTGGGAAGCCCGAAACAGGCAAATGATGCAAGAGCGCTTCTTCCAAAGTAATCTTACTACTATTATTCGACAATCGGCAAGAAGTCGTCTAGGAACAAGGATAAATACTCACATGATTCCCCAAAGAGCGCAGTGGGGAAGTTGGGGAAGGGCTGACTTTGTACAAAGTAATTCTGCGCAAAACATGAGAGTTAGAGGAAGACAACTTCTAGATCATGAAGCTCTTTCTTGTCTCTTAGTGTTAATATTTACCGACGACCCAAAGCTTCATACTTTACGACTTCACAGGGTGATCAGAAATCTTTGTTATCATGCACCTACTCGAGAATGGATAGTAAAGTCTTTGCTGTCGATCATAGAGAGAAGTGTTCAAGCAAAACCAGATGAAAATCTTAACAAGCCGTTACGTCGCACACCGAAACCTGGTCCATTAATTAGCAAGCTCCTAACAGATGCTCGACACCTTAATAACGGTGCCAGTTGGTTAAATATCAGGATGGAGGCTGCTTTAGGTTGCCACGCAAATGTATTTTTAGTTAATCGTATACCAGGCAAAAGAAGCGATCGTTCAAATGCAGCAACTGTTACCATTCATCCTCAAGCTGCACCGATTGTTTGCAAAAATGCGTTGGATTTACTGATATCACTCTCCAAAAGTTTTCCTACGTTTCTAGTACCGATTAGAGTAAGGGAAAAAGACGACAGTAAACCAACACCTTCTCCTTCTAAAATTAGGCCAGAAAGTACTGATTTCTGGGATATGCTTCTCAAGTTGGATTCTGCTAGCAACAAGAAAGGAAAGAGCCTGGCCAAAGTGCACACAAACTTGAGTCTTTGCTTAGACGTAGAAAACACAAACGTTACGTTCGAACAATCGGCTTTTGGACAATTACTTACTATGCTATCCTCTCCCATTATTTACCGTAGTATGCAACTGACAGATAAATTGCTTCGATTATTGTCTGTGATAACGACTGGAATGCCCGACCTAACTAAAAATACTGGATCAAAGCCGAAAAAGCAAGTTCCTAAATTTGATTGTATTACAGCTCCTGAAAGCGCTCTTAATCTAGCAGTTAAAGTTCTTACTTACAAGAGTTGTTCTGAAGAAGGTCTCGAAGATGTAACAAATCTTTTATTGAATTTATCCAACTGCTCCTTGGTAATGAGTTACACTGTAAGTCCGTTTTGTTTATTGACAACTTTTGTTATAAAGTAACGAATTGTTTTTTTGTGCTAGATTTTTAATCTTCTGCTTAATGGTGCTATTCGTATTGGAGAAACTGTCAAGGAACAAATCCAGAACATGTTAGAAGAACTTAGAAACTTAAACAACGCTCAAAAGAAACGTAAAACTGCAGAAGATCCTGGACCTAGTACATCAAAGGGTGTAGTATCAAATAGATTCACCAAAGAGAACGTGGTAATTACTGCTTCTTCAAAAGTTAAAACATCTTGTGATCTTCAGTTACCTTCAATGGCCCCACTGACATCGAAGACATCAAGTCAAGTTTTCTTCCTGAGGGTACTGAGAGTTATCGTTCAAATTCGGGACGCAATAAAAAAAGCACCCAAGAAAGACGAAGAAGGAGCAACTGACGCAAAAAAAGAAAGAGGTGAAGCAGATGGAAAAGCAACCTCAGAAGAATACGATATGTTTCCGGAAAATGGTTCTAACACTGCGATAGGTAATTTGTCACTAAAGCCTAAAGTTAATTTCTATTTATAATTATTTGTTTCAGTTCCAGCTTTAAGTGATCAATTGAAAAGTTTAGAGTCACTTTGGGAAACTTTAAGTGCATGTCTTTTAGAGTTGGAGCATACTCCAGATCATCATGCAGTTCTAGTTTTACAAGTAAGTAATTGATTACTTTCGTCGTTGAATTATTGTCAACTTGTTTTATTTTAGCCGGCAGTTGAAGCGTTCTTCTTGGTTCATTCTCCACAACAGGGCGCAGGAGACAAAGAAGCTTCCTCCAAAGAAACTAATAAATCTCCCGATAATGACATGTCTCTTTCAAGTAGTTCCTCTGCTACTTCTCATTTCCCTGAACCTGATCAAAACAGTTCAGAAGGAAACGCTAAGACCCCTGTTCCTCCTGATCAGTTGAAATTCTTAATATTTGCCGAGAAACACAGAACTGTTCTTAATCAAATTCTTCNTGTTTTCAGTCTTGCTGCTTCAAGAGCTTTATTAAACTTATTTTGAGGGAGAGCCGAATTGATTTTACTGTTTGGTATCTGAGTTATTTTTATATCATTATTTAGCAACACATTATTCGCCAGTAGTGACGGATTATTAGCATTATTATTCATCTTAACTTGTTTAAGTTTAACAATGTCCTTCATATTAGCTATTTTTTTAATTCTTTCATCTAAACCTGGCTTAAATAGTTCTTTCCCTCCTTTTTCTTTCTTCTTCTCTACTTTTTTCAGTGCTTTTACAGGTTTTTTAATAGAATCAGTAGGCATAACATTATTACTTTGTGGTGTAGGATCAATTGAAACCAGTGGAGTCCGAGATTCTGGAAGTTTACCTTCACGAGCTGGTGATAAAAAACCAGATGTCGTCATCATCACACTACTTATTTCCCTAGTGGGTCTTCCTTCTTCTTCTAAGAGTAACCTTGTTTAAAAAAAATACTTGAACACTAAAAACCTTAACCAATCTTATAAAACACAGTATGTAAATACCTGGGTCTTTTAAAAGGCTCTCCAACTGTTGTTTCTGGCCTTTTAAATATAGGACATGTATTTTCAGAACGTGAAAGATTTTCAGGTTCTTCTTTTTTCTCTTCAACTTCATTATCATTTACTAAATGATACAACACACAATTTCTTTTAATTATCCATGTAGTATATAGTATTTACTTTACCTTCTAACACTGGATGCATTGGTGGTAAATGTTCATGAATATACACTGGTCTTGTAACAACTTCTTTACTACCAGGTTTAAGAAAATTAAGATGATCTTCTTTTGGAATTGGAAACTTTGGTACAGATGTTGGAGGTTCTCCAAAGTCGACATATTTAACATACTCTTCTAATTCCGAAAGATTTACATGAAAATCACGAAATGCTAATGCCAAATGATCCAAATTTGGTTCAATCATTCCAACTAGAATATTTATAAGGGTATAAAATCATCACTTTAATTCTTAATATCTTACATTCGTTTGCATAATCCGCAGTAGATTTTCCAAGTTGTAATAAATAGTGCGACAAGATATCGGTTAAAATTTCCACCGAGGTTGTTTGTACCGAATGCCATCCAATGGTTAGACAAATTTTTGCAACTGCAATCTTAATTTGCTCACGGGAATATTGCGAAGCCATTATCTGTAATATATAAGACAATATGATTCACTTTTACAATTGTAATTTATAAATTAATAATTCTTATTGCACAAAAACATATTTTTTTTTAAAACAAACGCCATTTCCGAAGTCCGACAGACATCTTAAATTTGATGTGTATGTTTGATGATAGATATTTTCTTCGACTTCACCTTCACCCAACTGTGATACAAATTCAACAAGTACGAAAATCCATAAAGTAAATTATTGTCCATAATACCTTCACAACATTTTCAAAAATTGGCGGAAAAACAATTGCTTAATTATTTGCATTGTAAAATAGAAAACAATTGCAAAAGTCAAGAACTGTCTATTAACTAAAACGTCTAATGATAAAATTAAGGGTAAAATTGTGATTTTTTACGTATTTACATCTGAAAAATAAAAAAAAACTGATATCAAAAAACCGTAATTTGCTATAATTAAAAATAAAATAAACCTTGTGACTCTTTTTGCTTGAAGTCACTTTCAATCAAGGAAAAATACCTACTAAAATGAATCAAGAAAGAAAAGAAAATACTATTAATGAGAAATCAGATAATAATTCAGAAAGAAGCAGTTCAGAAGAAGAAAATGATACAAGTGAAATTTGGGAAGATGAAGAACTGCATTTAATAGAAAATATTTTAGACTTTGTTCCCCTGACAAATGTCGTTTCAAAAGAAAATTCAGAAACATTTTTCGTATTAGAAAGAAACGGACGCAACCAAGGACCAAATTCAAGCATAGAAGAACCTAAGAATATCCTTTCCTCTATATGGGCGAATCAAGTAAATGATACTTCAGATACTGATGAATGGCCATTACTATCATTCGAAGAATTATTAAGAAGGCCGGTACCTTCCTCACCTTATTACATGCTTCCTTTAATACCATCTACAATTCCAACTACTCCTTCCACAAGTTTGTATGATCCTGTTTATACTAGTAATAATAGTCGTTTACTTCAAGGGGGGGGAGAAACAAACCAGTCCCAATATTTTCGTAATCACCAAGAGATTTTTCCTGGAACGCTTTCTTCTGAAAATTCAGAATCGCCTTCTGACGACTTTTATAGAAATTTACGCCAAAATTTAGAGCAAGCTATAGAAGCTGAAATTGAACAAGAAATTAATCGATCTCCAAGAAATTATCCTTTGGATTCATTAAGTGATGCTTCTCTTACAAATTCCCCATATTTAACGACTTTACCAATTGGATACTTGCCGATTTCTGGAATATCTAACTTATTTTCACAGGATCAACAAGATGAAGAAGAAACAATTCGATTATCTCGGAGAGAAACTCTTCTACCAGAAAACTTTTTTGATCAAGATTTTCATGAGACACTAAGGATTCCTGATGGCTCAAGACCTTATGAGTTAATGGAACCCTGGAATTTGGAGCAAGTTGAGGAAATTTTTAGAGCTAGTCAGGAGATACAAAGTGGAACATCAAGTGCTTTGCTAACAGGAAGATATTCCAATTTGCAAGAACCTGAAGCAATACAGGGACCTTCATCATTACAGTCATCTGAAGAAATCGACACAACAGATCCGTCCTATATTGCAATTGAACAAAATTTAATGAGACTAATGGATTCGCCAGAAAGTCCTCGAAGCCCTCGAGAAAGACCTCAAAGATTTATTGACCACACTAAAAACCATTTCTTAAAACGCTAATGTTTTTTAATTGATTATAAATTGATTATAAAGTTACATATCTTCTAATCATTCACCACTTACATTTGTTCAAACAAATTGTATTTGAAACCAAATTAAATAAATAGATCATTTTGCAGTCGTTTTGTTGAAATTCTCCTAAAACTGAAGTTGGACACGAATACTTTTGCTGAACAGTTGGCAAATCTATGTTTACCCAGCAAGACAACAAGGTCACACCAACATACATATCTACATAGCGGTATACAGCAGTTACAAGCAAAAGTATACAAGCAATGAAGTAAGTGAATTTGGTACCAGTATAATTTTTTGATATTTACAGCCTACCAGATGGTTTACATTTTATGTTTATATTTATTAGCTTTCTAAAAGTACTGGTGGAGAATTAAAATACAAGAATATTAAGCATATTACATTTGCCAGAAAGTTTGATTTGTTTAAGTTTGATTATTCAATATGGCCGCATTGGCGTACGCATAAGAAGTGCTGTGGAACTGTCGCAGAATACTACCAGTAATTGCAGTAAACATTATGGTGATATTTGATTGAACAGATAATTGATGTACACGGCATTAGATCGTTATTAATTATTAGATTATTGTAAGTAGTTCACGCATGTAACGTTTGTTCTTTGTGGTGACTAAGCAGTATTGCACATTCTTCCTCAAATAACTGTTAACAGTTTTGTTATTTTCATTACTACCTTTTATAAAATATTTAAATTTAATACGCCTTCCTTTAAAAACTTAGTAATATATATATTAAATTGCGTGTTGCATTTGTTTTAATCAGCTGTTTTATCAGTTTGTAATGCACTGCTGCAGTTCATTCTTATTTTGCTTTTTTGAAGACAATACGATGATTTATTTATTATTTATGATGACGATGTACATATTTACTTAGTATTTTTTTTGTAGAACAAGATGGGATTTGTAATTTCAAGTTTGATGATAGTGTACTAGGTAGTTTTATTTTGGTAACATGAGGATCGATCGTAATCGCATTCGCAAAGGTACTTCAGAAATACCCCCTGAATGCGAGGGGCTTATTGAGAAGTTATTACTCTGCAGTCACTTGGAACTGTTGGAGGAATTATCTAAAATCAGTACGTGGACATTTGGAAAATGTGAACTTTATCATTGGATCAACATATTGGATACTTTTGATAGGATACTAGAAGAAGCTGCAGAACCTTTCCCTGATAATAAATGGGCTCTTAATTGTGATGTAAATTATAATAGTACAGTAAGTGAACCAGTATAACATAAAATAAGCAAAAAGTAACATACAAATGATAATTAAAGTAAATCAGTAATTTTTGATCTAAATAAAAAAAAAAAAAAAAAAAATAANTTTTAACCAACTTTATTTACTTACAGCATCAAATTTAGGTAATGCTATGGACGAGCTTATGCGCCACCAACCAAGTTTGAAAGCAGATGCTACAAGAGGCATAATTAAACTTCTTCATGAACTCTGTTATTTAGGAACAGAGTCTAAATATGTCTGCTGGAGACCACACAGTAAACAAGATCCTCAAAGTACTTCAAATACACCTAGACCTTCCACTACCACTGAGGGTAAAATTCATAAATGAACTTCAAACCAAAGAGTATTAAATTTCCTTTTAATAGGATCTTCGGACGAAGAAGATGACGATGAAGAAGAAGCCTCAACATCTTCTCAAAATCAGAGTGATTCTCAAGTTCACGGAAGAAGCGATAACAAAACCCCTATTGCTTTAGTCGATTATATTTTGAACGTTATGAAATTAATCGATGCGATTTTAAGTAATAATTCTACAGACGATCACTGTCGTGAATTTGTGAATCAGGGTGGTTTAGACCCCTTATTAAAAATTCTTGGTCTACCCAATCTGCCCGTCGATTGTCCTGTAACAGCGTCAGCCCAGGCTGTCGCATCCGTCTGCAAAAGCATCTTAAACCTTGCGCATGAACCTAAAGTCTTAAAGAAAGGACTGGAACAGTTGAATGAAGTCTTGCAAAATTTAAAACCCCTTTACACGAGATCACCAGATGACCCTCCTGGATCAAAACTATTACACGAATTGGCGAGTGCTACACACTTAGATTCTGCTTTTTCAAATGCAAGTGTAACCCCTCTTCTGCATGCAATGGGAGCTGCACATGGTTATGTTCTAATGTTTGTTCACGTTTGTCGAACTAGCCAAAGTGATACTCGCGCCCTTTCTCTTCAACATTGGGGCTCAGAACAAGGACTTATTGTACTTAAAGGTTTAGCTGAACTTTATACTTCTCTTGTGTGGGAAAGTACTCTGCTATTAGCTTTATGTAGCGAAGATGTTATCCACGGAAAGACATTTGATTGCGATTTTAATCGCGAAGATATGAGGAAACTTAATATTCCAGATCCAGATAGGGTAAGTTGTTTACTAATTTGTTTAAATAATTTTCTAAGACAACAATTGGTTTTTAATAACAGGCCGAATGTACTTGTGCTACTACTGAAACGCCAGTAGACACGACAGCGAACGTCGCTTATGCCATGAGAGGTCTTTCGACAAATCCTCCGCCTCTTTGTATGGAAATAGATGGCGAAGCAATAGCTATCAATAAGCCGACAAGCCAACAGTTAAAATACATAAAACCTCTTCTTGGCGCGTCCTCGCGATTAGGTAGAGCTTTGGCTGAACTGTTTGGCCTTTTGGTTAAATTATGTGTAGGTTCTCCAGTTAGACAACGACGCGGTCAAAATATAGTGTCTAGTCCCCCTTGTCCAGGCCCGTATGCCAAAGCTGTAGCCACCGCTTTAAATTATCTTCTTGCCAATGGTCTGAATGCAGAAAAATTACCTCCAAGTCCTATTCCAAAGTTTAGGTTGACATTCCTTATATGTAGTGTCGGTTTTACGAGTCCCATGCTTTTTGACGAAAAAAGATATCCATACCATCTGATGCTCCAAAAATTTGTCCAACTTGAAGGTCTCACTACATTCTTTAACACGTTCAAATGGGCCTTAAGTGCTGGAGGTACTATTCCTTTTGATGAAGGCATTGAACATGCTGATTTACCAGAAGGTACTGGTGAATTTTTGGATGCCTGGCTGATGCTTCTTGAAAAAATGGTTAATCCGAAGGCCATTCTAGAGTCTCCTCATGTTGTTTCTTCAAAATCGAATTCAGCAGCTTTTAAAATGACAGCATTTGACCCTCTTAAATACCTAATACAAATGCAAAAATTGGCTTTTGATGCTGTTATGCTTCTTTGGGACAAACGTCCTTTACCTAACTATGGATTACGTATGAGCGAATCTATTCTTACCATATTAAGACACATTCTAAGAGCGGAAAAAATTATCAACGAACGTCTGAAAGATATGGACAAAAAATCCGAGCCCGCTGCTACTTCCTCCACAAGTAGAGAAGTCGATGTTAATCAAGATCACTTAAGGCAACTTATGGACATGGGGTTTTCACGTGAACATGCCACAGAGGCTCTTTTACATACTCTAAGTTTAGAGCAAGCCACTGATTACCTTTTAGCACATCCCCCTAACCTGGTAAGGCCAGGAACATCTACTATGGATGTAGATGAAGACGAACAAGTTATGCAAGCAATTGCATTGTCTTTGGGAGATTCGGTATCTGGTAAAAAGAAAGAAGAGTCTGTTGAAGACGATATGACACCATTATCAAGAGAGAAAATAAACGAATTCACCTCGAATGCTTTACAAAATACCTTGTTACTTATTGAACAAATACCGGAAGTTGTTTATAAAGTTTGTGACCTTTTGGTTACAATTATGAAAAGAAACGGACCTGACTTTAGAGACGAAGTTCTAGATAAAATTCTTACCATAATTCGTGGTTATGTTGTAGACATACTCGAAAAAATTTATAACATTTCCTTCAAAGATTTTGTAGAACTTATTTACGATTCACAGAGGGCTCATCGACTGGGGTGTTTCACCCACTTATACGTTTTGTTCTTCGAAGTTCCTTCATATTTTGAAATGCGTATTCCATCCGCCTTAGCAGTTCACAAATCTGGTATGTTAAGAAACATGCTGGCTTTAATTTGTCTAGCAGAACATGCCATGTCAACTGCTGAAAAGAAAGTTGAGCCTAAATGGTTGACACCTTTCTTGCTTCTGTTGGATTCTGTAGGAAAAGTAGCTACTTGCTCCCAAAGAAAATGGAACATGCACTTAGTTACAAATAGAGTTTGGAAGTGGTATGATTTAGTAACTGGGAAGTGGACGCCATACTCTACAACCAACAACAAACTTATTAATGAAGCTTACTGGAATGGAGAGCAAAGTATTAGAGTAACGTGCGGAAGACGAAGATATACCATAACATTCTCAAACATGTTACAATGTAACGACGAAAGTGGAAATAATCGACCAATATCGATGACACCAAGGAACCTCCTTAATGATCAAACTCAAGAACCAATCGAAATGGCAATTGCTGATGATTCACTGTTAAATGAAAAAGAACAAAAACGTTGCAGACCTGTGCCGAATTTGTTAAGAAAACAAAATATAGAACTTGTAAAGATCTGCGTTAAACTTATGCATCTTCAGATTGATAAAGACCTTCTGCATGCCATTATGCGTGTCTGCTTACGTCTTACAAGAAGCTTTGAAATTGCGAATATATTTGTACAAGAAGGTGGTGTTAGATGCTTGTTAAATATGAGACAAACAGCCGCATTTAGTGGCTACGGCCCGCTAGCTACCATTTTAATCCGTCACACTTTAGAAGATTCCCAAACATTGGCACACGCCATAGAAAAGGTGATCAGAGGTCGCACTTTACCGTCAATACCTCCACCTTACAGAGAATTAATGTATATGGTTAGACAGATTGGTGGTGCTGTGACACGATCTCCAGAGACTTTTTTCCAAGTAGCCAAGAACATTTTACGTGTTGATTGTAGTATATTTAGAAGAAACGATGAAATTGATTCACGTTTGCCTATGCGTGCCGAACCATCGAAACATTCTCACCCTCCAAATATGGAAGAGTTTTCTATAAGAGTAATTTACGATTTGTTGAATGTCTTGGTTCAACCTTTGGAATTAGACGCCCCAGATATAAGTGAAGCTTCAGCATCTAAAAAGGTTAATAGCAAACAACGTGAAACTATGTACCAAAGAGCTTCGTCTCTTCTAAGTGGAAATGGAAGTTCAGAAATGCTCAACATCGACAGTCAAGATGATTCGTCTTCTACACCTATTATGAGAGTGAAACTGACTAGAAACGGAAGTGAAACAAATATAGATAAAAAATTGGAGCAAGAAATGGCTCGAAAACCTTTACTAGCAAAGCACACTATTCTGAAAATACTAGCAGACGCCGTCGTTTCTTATGGAGCTGTAGCCAAACTTGTTACAGACTACGTGTTTAAAGCAGGCTGTTCTGAATTTATAACCGAAGACTGTACTGCATTAGCTTTCATGTTTGACAAACTTCTTCCTATAACCGAAAATAGTTCTGATCGCGATTGCTCTATGATGTGTCGTATGCTGATAGCAGCCATAGCATCCTGCAATCACTCACCTGAAGCGCAAATAACATTGGTCGGAGAAGTAAAATCTGCCTTAATAAGGGCACTCATGATGCAAGAATCAATAGAAAAACACACCCAAGTTCAGTTGTTAACTGGTATTATTTGGACAGTAATTGAAAATTGCCCACCTGCCAATAACCAAATGAGAGTCCACAAAGCTCAGTCAATGAGTAGTGGTCAAATGAATAACATGGTGAAACTGATGTTAAAAAAAGGAATTTTTAATGATTTGGCCCGGGTTCCACATTGTCTTGACTTGTCAAGTCCGAATTTTCCAGCTACTGTAAACAGTGCTCTTAAACCTATGGAGGCTCTGTCTAGAATTGTGAATCAACCTGTGACTGGTAACGCATCATCAAATAAATCAAACAAAAAGAGCTCTCATAATAATTTAGATGATACTGGGGTCACACAAAGTGGTACCACATCAACCGAAGCTACAAATGCACAGGTATAGTTCCGTTAATATAATTCTATTTTAATTAAGTTATTTCAATAATTATTAAATGTTTAGGGTGAAGAAACCATCGAGGATACAGAAAATACAGACCACGACATTTCTGCAGTAGCTTCAAGTTTAGAAGCAAATCCGGAAGCAACAAATGTCCCCGAAGAAAGCGACCATGTTTTAGTAAATATAATGGATCAGTTACTCGAAAGAGGAAATGGTGATGGTGGGAGCCGCAGTTATAGTGAAGTTGCGTCCAGTAGAAATCATCATGGTATGGATATTGATGAAGATGCTAACATGAGTTATGACAATGAAAGAGACGCTACTGTAAGTTAAAAGTAAAAGTAATTAATAATACATTCCTTTAATGTTTATATATATAGGAAGAGCTTATGAGTACAGACTCTGGAGACTCAGATTCAAATGCATCTGATCAGGAAGTAGAAGACGACGATAACGAGAATGATGTGGATGATGAAGATATCGACGAAGGGGATGAAAACGACGAAAATAATTACGACGATGACGACAATAACGAGGGTATAATTTAACCCCTTTTTGTTCCTGTTTATAGTTTTTGTTCTTTTTTTTTTTGTTCCTTTTATTTTAAGTTTATTTGTTTTACAATTTTCAAGGAACGGATAATTTCGATGATAATTCAGGAATTTTCCATATAGCTTCAAACACAGACAGGGACGATGATGACATTCTAATGATTCAATATGCTGAACATGATACTGATAACGAAACCCTTCCTCGTGTACGCTGGAATGAAAATGGATTTGCTGTTCCAATATTCGATGAACCCAGCAACAGTGCTGATCAATCAGGTTAGCTATTTACATTTTTCATTTGTTTGTTCTCTTGTCAATTTAATATAAATTTCTTTAAATTTAGTTCCGATTATTCATCCCCTGTTGGTCTCCCGTCACAACAACGAAAATACAACAACCACTGCTAACAGAAATCAACGTACCAATCGCGCAAGAAGATACCAGTACCTACACTTCAACCCGAGAAATTCTAATCCACCTGTTATCTTACAAAGGTAAATTGGGTTTTTGCAGTGTTTTGCAATTACATTCTAGATATGCATTGTCCCTTTCTAGACTTCTGGGTCCAGCAGCGGCTCAGAATCTTACTCTCGGAAGCAACCAACTCATGAATTCTCCTGGTACCCATGAATCAGCTAGAGTAGTGGTTATGGACAACTTCAGCTTATTTCCAACCGCAGAAGAACAAATAGATCTTGTTGACCAGTCTGGATACTTGTTTGGTCCTAGTTTAGCAGCCACATTAAACTATGTACCACCGTTCCTTCACTGGTGGAATGAAGAATCAAAATTATTAGACGTAGAGTCTACCTATGACATAACCATTTTGGTATGTTATAAACTAATCTGTCCCTTGATCAAAGCGAGAAATGTTGAAATGGCTGAAAGAAAACGTAAACGAGAAGAGGAGGAAACTAAGTCGAACAAAAACAAACAGAAACCTGAGGAAGGTAAACATGAAGAGCCCCAAATTAAGAATGCATTCGACTTAAATGTTACTCTTCCTTCTGTAGAAAATGTTGAAATCGACTCTGATAATAACTCAGAACATTCTTCTGCACAAGTTTCACAGGCAAATAATGAACAATCTCAGTCAGGTAGTTATATTTAAAAAAAGCATCTTGCGTGCAATTGTAATTAATCTGTCTATTAATTTACAGAACCCGAGCGAACGATAATATCAATTCCTACACTTGCAAATGTGGAAAATACTTTACAATCTAACAGTGTCAACCAGCAAGCATGGCAAATTGATCAACCAATCCCTGACTTGTCACAGAATCTAGGAAATAACGAAAACGGTTCCACCTGGGTGCATGATTCTGATTGCATTACCGTGGGTGGCGAACAGGAAAATCAAATAGGACAACCGATTCCTGTCGTTCATTTACCATCAAGATTTGAGAATGTAGAGAATGAATCAGGTTGGATGCGCGAAAGCAACGACGCTATTCCTAACAGAACTTTGCGTAAGTAAATGTATAATATTACCTGTTTACTTTTTTGTTATTTTTAATTACATTTAGAACAAATAGCAGATGCAGATCGAGTCCTACAAGCACTGGGAAATATCGAATTTACTTCATACGAGCCTATTGAAGTTCCTGATTTTGTTTCATCTTCCAATTCAAGAGACGAAATACCTCAATTGCCACAAAATTATTTTTCTCGCATTCCTACTCCTCCACCATTAGATTTTGGTTCAGGAGGAGCTACTAATGCTCCTGATGATAGTAGACTCCCTGTTTCTAATGAAAATGAAGAACTAGAAGATGCTGAAGACAGTGAAGATAATGAAGAGGATCGTAATGCAGCAAATGCAGAGCCTAGATTTTCGACGTCCATGTACCCGAGCATTTTTTCGCTGATAACAGTTGATGAAACAAATGCTTTACAACAAAGTTTAGACAGTTTACGTTCTAGTCTTCGCGAAAGGCAAGAAATATTTGAACGACGACGTCAAGAACAACAAAATGTGACTCAGCAATCTGAACAACAGCAAGAAATTAGCGACACAGTCGTGCTGGATTCTAATTCATCTGAAAGTGAAACATCTTCAAGTAATGTCGCTGAAACTGCTTCTGCTGCTGCCGCTACTAGCAGAACGGTTACAACTGAAAATGCAAATCCTACATCTTCAAATAACGATTATACTACTGCAACTGATGATAAAAACCCAGTTCCTCAAACTCAAAATCAAGAAGAAAGCTCAGGTGCAAGTCAAATACAAACGGAAGCTGCAAGTGCTAATACTGATGTCATAATGGTAGAAGAAACTGCAAGACCCGCAGATGGAAACGAAGAAATCCCCGAAGGTGTTGATCCATCGTTCTTAGAGGCTCTGCCTCCTGAAATGCGTAGAGAAGTTCTAGATCAATGTAGAATGTTACGACTTCAACAACGTGCTTCTGCTCCCAGTAGCAGTTCTGATCAAGCAGCAGCCGGAAGTTCTGCAGAAGTAAGTCCGGAATTCTTAGCTGCATTACCACCTTCTCTACAGGAAGAAGTGTTGACCCAACAAAGATTGGAACAACAACGTCAAGCTGCTGCTCGAGCAAATCCTGATGAACCAGTTGACGCCGGAGCGTTCTTTGAAACTTTGCAGCCGTCTCTACGGACAATGATCTTGTCAGACATGGAAGATTCACAAATGTCGGCTCTTCCTCCAGACTTAGCAGCAGAAGCGCAAACCTTAAGAAGAGATTGGGAAGCCCGAAACAGGCAAATGATGCAAGAGCGCTTCTTCCAAAGTAATCTTACTACTATTATTCGACAATCGGCAAGAAGTCGTCTAGGAACAAGGATAAATACTCACATGATTCCCCAAAGAGCGCAGTGGGGAAGTTGGGGAAGGGCTGACTTTGTACAAAGTAATTCTGCGCAAAACATGAGAGTTAGAGGAAGACAACTTCTAGATCATGAAGCTCTTTCTTGTCTCTTAGTGTTAATATTTACCGACGACCCAAAGCTTCATACTTTACGACTTCACAGGGTGATCAGAAATCTTTGTTATCATGCACCTACTCGAGAATGGATAGTAAAGTCTTTGCTGTCGATCATAGAGAGAAGTGTTCAAGCAAAACCAGATGAAAATCTTAACAAGCCGTTACGTCGCACACCGAAACCTGGTCCATTAATTAGCAAGCTCCTAACAGATGCTCGACACCTTAATAACGGTGCCAGTTGGTTAAATATCAGGATGGAGGCTGCTTTAGGTTGCCACGCAAATGTATTTTTAGTTAATCGTATACCAGGCAAAAGAAGCGATCGTTCAAATGCAGCAACTGTTACCATTCATCCTCAAGCTGCACCGATTGTTTGCAAAAATGCGTTGGATTTACTGATATCACTCTCCAAAAGTTTTCCTACGTTTCTAGTACCGATTAGAGTAAGGGAAAAAGACGACAGTAAACCAACACCTTCTCCTTCTAAAATTAGGCCAGAAAGTACTGATTTCTGGGATATGCTTCTCAAGTTGGATTCTGCTAGCAACAAGAAAGGAAAGAGCCTGGCCAAAGTGCACACAAACTTGAGTCTTTGCTTAGACGTAGAAAACACAAACGTTACGTTCGAACAATCGGCTTTTGGACAATTACTTACTATGCTATCCTCTCCCATTATTTACCGTAGTATGCAACTGACAGATAAATTGCTTCGATTATTGTCTGTGATAACGACTGGAATGCCCGACCTAACTAAAAATACTGGATCAAAGCCGAAAAAGCAAGTTCCTAAATTTGATTGTATTACAGCTCCTGAAAGCGCTCTTAATCTAGCAGTTAAAGTTCTTACTTACAAGAGTTGTTCTGAAGAAGGTCTCGAAGATGTAACAAATCTTTTATTGAATTTATCCAACTGCTCCTTGGTAATGAGTTACACTGTAAGTCCGTTTTGTTTATTGACAACTTTTGTTATAAAGTAACGAATTGTTTTTTTGTGCTAGATTTTTAATCTTCTGCTTAATGGTGCTATTCGTATTGGAGAAACTGTCAAGGAACAAATCCAGAACATGTTAGAAGAACTTAGAAACTTAAACAACGCTCAAAAGAAACGTAAAACTGCAGAAGATCCTGGACCTAGTACATCAAAGGGTGTAGTATCAAATAGATTCACCAAAGAGAACGTGGTAATTACTGCTTCTTCAAAAGTTAAAACATCTTGTGATCTTCAGTTACCTTCAATGGCCCCACTGACATCGAAGACATCAAGTCAAGTTTTCTTCCTGAGGGTACTGAGAGTTATCGTTCAAATTCGGGACGCAATAAAAAAAGCACCCAAGAAAGACGAAGAAGGAGCAACTGACGCAAAAAAAGAAAGAGGTGAAGCAGATGGAAAAGCAACCTCAGAAGAATACGATATGTTTCCGGAAAATGGTTCTAACACTGCGATAGGTAATTTGTCACTAAAGCCTAAAGTTAATTTCTATTTATAATTATTTGTTTCAGTTCCAGCTTTAAGTGATCAATTGAAAAGTTTAGAGTCACTTTGGGAAACTTTAAGTGCATGTCTTTTAGAGTTGGAGCATACTCCAGATCATCATGCAGTTCTAGTTTTACAAGTAAGTAATTGATTACTTTCGTCGTTGAATTATTGTCAACTTGTTTTATTTTAGCCGGCAGTTGAAGCGTTCTTCTTGGTTCATTCTCCACAACAGGGCGCAGGAGACAAAGAAGCTTCCTCCAAAGAAACTAATAAATCTCCCGATAATGACATGTCTCTTTCAAGTAGTTCCTCTGCTACTTCTCATTTCCCTGAACCTGATCAAAACAGTTCAGAAGGAAACGCTAAGACCCCTGTTCCTCCTGATCAGTTGAAATTCTTAATATTTGCCGAGAAACACAGAACTGTTCTTAATCAAATTCTTCGACAGACAACAGCTCATCTTTCTGATGGTCCATTTTCAGTTCTTGTCGACCATACCAAAGTTTTGGACTTCGATGTTAAAAGACGGTATTTCAGAACTGAACTTGAGAGATTGGATCAGGGAATTAGAAGAGAAGAAACTGCCGTCCACGTACGTAGAAGCAATGTTTTTGAAGATTCCTTCAGGGAATTGTACAGAAGGTCCCCTGAGGAATGGAAAAATCGTTTCTATATCGTCTTTGAAGGTAAATTAAACTTTTACTCTTCATATTGATACATATATTACGTATATTACATATTTTATGTTATAGATGAAGAAGGACAAGATGCTGGAGGTTTATTGAGGGAGTGGTATATGATTATTTCTCGTGATATATTCAATCCAATGTACGCATTGTTTACAATTTCCCCTGGAGATCGCGTGACTTATATGATTAATTCAGCAAGTCATTATAATCCAAATCATCTTTGTTACTACAAATTTGTAGGACGAGTAATTGGTAACTTAACCAGAAGCACATTTCATGAATTTCGTGTTAATAATAATTGTTATTTTCTTGCAGCTAAAGCCATTTATGACAATAAACTTCTAGAATGTTACTTTACAAGGTCATTTTATAAACATATTTTGGGAATTCCTGTCAAATATACTGACATGGAGAGTGAAGATTATAGTTTTTATAGGGGTTTAGTATATTTAATGGAGAATAACATAGAGCAATTGGGCTACGATCTAACCTTCAGTACAGAAATAAATGAATTTGGTGTTACAGAAACCAGAGATTTAATACCGAACGGCCGAAATGTTCCTGTTACGGAAGAAAATAAGATGGAATATATCAGACTTTCCTGTCAGATGAAGATGACTGGTGCTATAAGACAACAGTAACTTGTTTAATTGTATCAATGTGTTTGTTGTATTTCTAATTAATATGTTTTAGGTTAAACGCTTTCTTAGAAGGATTTTATGATATAATCCCTATGCGTTTAATCTCGATATTTAACGAACAAGAACTAGAACTGCTTATTTCAGGTTTGCCCAATGTAGATATCGACGATTTAAAAGCAAATACAGAGTATCACAAATATCAGAGTAATTCTTTACAGGTAGTATTGTTTCTATAGTGTTGTTAAATGTTATTGGTTAACAATTTCCATTTGTTCAATCACACAGATTCAATGGTTCTGGAGGGCCCTTCGATCGTTTGACCAAGCTGAACGCGCTAAATTTTTGCAATTTGTTACGGGTACTTCAAAAGTTCCATTACAAGGTTTCGCTCACTTAGAGGGAATGAATGGAGTTCAGAAATTTCAAATTCATCGAGACGACAGATCCACTGATCGTTTGCCGTCCGCGCACACTTGGTATGTACATGGATAATTTAATTATTAATACATTAACTAATAAGTTGTATTTTAGTTTCAATCAGTTGGACCTTCCTGTTTATGAAACGTATGACAAACTTCGTTCTTACTTACTGAAAGCTATCCACGAATGTTCAGAAGGTTTCGGCTTTGCTTAAACTAATTCTTGCAAGACTGAAGCAAGTTAGAATTCGGTAGAAATATTATAAACGTTGAAGACCAAAAAAAAAATGGGATATTTGTTAATATCATACATAAAGCTATAGATAGATGGAAAACTATTCTAATAATAATAATTGTAAATAAAACCGAATGTGTACAGGGCTGAAGTAATATCTATACGATCGATTTACGTGTATTATATGATATAAACAAAAACATTAAAAGTAATAATTTTTCGAAAAGCGCTGGCAGTATATGTTATAACTGTTTTGCGTGTGCTTTTTCGGTTGACCTTAGTTGAGATTTTTGTAACATAACTCTTTGAAGGCACATGTATTTTTGTAAAGGGCCGAGAGGCAAATAAGCGTGATAGATTGTATTTCATAAGTACCTATAATTTTATTGTTTAGTTTTAACATTTGTTAATTGTAATTATTTGGCTAGAGCGACGATTACTGATATAATAATATTTATAACAAGGCAAATCTTTCCAGTCTGGTTGTATTTTTTTTATACTACATAAATTTTTTTTCTCATTTTACAAGGCGTTGTAACTCTGTTAATTGTAATCTGAATCCATAAAATTATATCTACAAAAGTAATTGAAATAACTGTTCAATCATTGTAATAGGTGTTAACTACACTTCCCTAAAATCTGTGTATGCTTGTCAAATGCATTTTATTTTGATACCTTTTTGTTTCAAATTTTCTAAATTTTTCGGTTGAAGATGTACGTTTCCTTCATGTAACATCTTTTGTGATCTTAAAAAGTTTTAATAAATGTTTCATTAATGTCAGAATATCTTCTTTTATTTTCTGCAATCTACCTTACAAATCTTATAATGTAGTATTTTAGTCCTCAAATATCAAAAGAAATAAACAAGGATTTTACTTTTAAACAAAAACAGATGAATTTGTCGAAAATAATATAAAAAAAACTACAAAATTAATATGACCCATACAAACACAGCACCATAAACCCCATAATCAACGACATCTGCAAAAACCTACGAAATTTCGTTATATTTTACACATGGTTTTATTTAAAGATTTCTATATCGCACTACCTGTGTATAACTACAGTGCCTCTTTTATACTCGTTGATTGCGCCATCTATTAGAAAATAAGAATAAAAAACTTCAAAATTTGTAAGCACGGAGCACTTCCTTGTACGTAAATTCACTACTTGGCAGAAGATGTCTTTTTCCCAAAATATTTAAATTTTTAAAATGAGGGAATTTAATAAAACGAAATTATTATAAGTGTTCCTGCATATAAATTGATAAATGATACACTAATAGCTTGTAATAAAATATTGCTATTTTCGATATTCGGTAACAGCAATATTTTACCTGTTTAATAAAACATTAATAAATAATAAGTCACAAATTGTTTTGGCATGAACTTAAAAAAGTTTTAAAACTATGCAACATAATTTAATGGTCTCCTTTTTGACAAAAAGTAATTCAGTAAGTAAAAGTGGGAAGCTGGTCGTATGGTGCCATAATAATTGTGAGGGGTAATTAACTGCCCACCCTCCCTTACATCATTATGAAGTCCAATAAGATGTTTCTGAACTCGCCGGTCTCGAAAAAGAAAAACGATCTTGAACTTGCTAAAAATTGGAAGAAAGTCCAAGAGTGTCCGCCTACAGTGCTGTCTTTTCGCACAATCGCGTTTGTTAGATTATTATATTATTTAGCGCGTACATGTCGTCAACCTATTGGCATTGAGCCGGTCATTGATTATAGTTTTATCGGCATAATGTACCACATAGCATTTAGTTATTTTTAAATCTTACCAACATCATCTCCTCAACATTTTTATCATATATATACCCAGTAGTACTTTCTCATTAAAAAGATCGAAAATGATAACTCCCATTTTTGAGTTCCTACGTATTATACGTTTCAATAATAATAACATCGAACTTTTGCGTCAATGTTGTAAGTTTTTTTAAACTTTTAATGATGAATATTTAGCGTTAACAAAATGGAACATAAAATTGATTACAAAAATCCTATTTAGTTTTGTGTATTTTAGTTCAGTTCTATTTAAAATGTATTTTGGTATGTATATTGATTTTTCATAGAAAGATTCGTTTTTTCACGGACAGAAACACCGATCGCGTTAGGGTCAATAGTCTAACTTACGTCAGACAGAATAGATGGATACTGTGTTTTATTCAAACTGTTTTTTCATGAGATCATCATCCTGTACTACCCTAACTACACGTATACATCCACACGACAAATTATATAAAAGCGAAAATTACAACACGAAAAATTCGCGAATTAAATTCTGTAAACCTGCACCTATATAGATGTATACATACAAAAGTAGCATCTGCGTTAAATTCATTAAAAAGTATGGAAAGCTTGAAAACAACACAAATAATAAATAATAATGATGGAGAATGTTTATTTGAGGTTGGATTTACTAAATAAGTATAACAAGCAGTATGAAATTAAGTTTTGATAGAATACTGATCGCCAAGAAATTTTTATTTAATTTATTGCTTAACAAGATAACGACATCAAAAAAATATTTTACTGATGCAACTAAAACCGCTGATGAATAATATTTTGACGGTTAAATACATACGAAAAATAACTTCGATTATCAGTAAAAACCCAACGGTTGAAACAAGTTAAATTACTGAAACAAAATTGATAAATTGCATAATGGGATGAGTCCTTAAAACCGTAAAAATATCAATAAACATCTTTTCATTTCTGAACACGTCACTCTTTTCTAATTGTAAATAAATTCCTTTTAAACTTCTTATCTATTTAATTTCGATGTGATCATTCGATGTTACGCTTTCGTCTCGCTAAAATCAGGGAAAAGTATCGTACTTTCGGTGTGCGTATGGTAAAAAAGGACTTAAAAAAACACAGAGAAGCCTATTGCACTTGTACCATCGGCGGCAATTACAAATTATAAATTATTAGTCGTAGCTGTGGGAGAACGAAACTAGAGTTAATTTCGTAAATTTAATTTTTTTGCGTGCTATAGTCAATCTTGTAGCAAATAAACCATTCAAAGATTTTAAAGAATAATGCCAACGACCTTGAGGCAGTTGAACTAAAGTCCTAAAGTCAACAACTCTTGCGTAATGTTTTAAATTCATTGGTAACCGGAAGTAAACTGAACAAACTGAACGCGCGTAATTTGAATAAAATCATTCAACAAAATTTTAATACCGAATCCGTTGTTATACTAATAAATACATGAATACTATCGATAGAACAACATCTTTTTTTATTAATTTNTTCTACCCTTATTTGTTATTAATTCTTCATTGACTTTGACAAGTTCTCATTGGTATTTCAGGTGTTGAAAGAAATACATGATCTGATTTAACTTTTAGAATTTTTGTTTAAAATTTATATGGGGGCCAATTTTCTTATTATCGTCAAGATTCGCGTGATTTACAAAATACATATCTATCGCGTCAATTATTCCTACATCTCCCTAGTAATTAGAAAAGTCATAAACTCAAAGATTACGAAGCAAATAAATATAAAGAAAGCTAATGGTACCTATATATATAATTTATACAATGTGTAGAAGGTAGATACATAAAAAAAAAGCTTCTATATATCATATTGGCTTCTTGCCAAGGTTGCTAAGTATACCGAAGCAAAAAAATCTATTAAGAATTATGTAAGTAGCAGATAGTTCACTGACTTTTTAGTTGCTTTAAAATTCCCTTAAAATGATAAACAAACAAGATCCATATCTATTAGTAATTAAAACAATCAAAAATTATGATAATTATCACAAAGATATACTTAAACACTGTTTTGCCATATAATAAATATCCATATGCGTACATATGTAGTTTGAGACGGTAAATAGCTATGTATAGGTTTGTAATATATAAATATCGGCAGCGAGCCAATTGATTTCTAATACGTTAGGGTTGAACATAAATTATGCAAAGGCCACTTTCTCTAATTTTTGACCTTCCTCTCCCTACTAAGGAATCCTAAGGCAAAATAGCTTCACTTACAATTTTTTTTATTCTTGTTCCACAAGAATATTAGGATATCAGTTATTATCAATATTTTTAAAAAACTAGTGTTCGAAAAGGTATATAGGTAAAAATCTTCAGAATGTATGTCACCTAGCTCAAATTTACCCACAGGTACCCAAGTAAAAATTTAAAGTTTTGAATGAACCCCTACCCTCTGCTATCTTTACGTAATTTATGGGCAGCCCCATACCAATAAAGTGCAAGTATGACAAAATGCGATATTAACAGAGAAAAGTTCAAAAATGTTTTTTTTTTGTTAAAAATTTATATATTTCCAAATTTACAATATTCACTAAAAACTTTTCTGGAATTGGGACTTTGTCGCATTAGAATGTTTTTTTCATAATTGCTACATAAACTATTTAAAGTGTTTTTTTGTCAATGCTGCCTATTAGCCTGAGAGGTCCCATTTAAATTTAAGGGATTTTGACGGTAGATATAATGAAGTACAAATCGAATACAGATTTTCGTGTAAATTTATTGAAACATGCTAAAAATGAATAGACTTTTTGCGAAAATCTTACACAGTAGACGAATTGTACTCATGACGTCCAAATTCAGAAACCGTTTGAGAAATTCAAATGGGACTCGTCAGGATAATAAAATGGCATTGAGGAAAAGACGATCGAAATTGTATGATTAAATCTAATTTCCGTACTATGAGCAAAAACAAAAAAAAATGTGTTATTAACATACCCCTACCGAAAGTGCAATGTTTTCTCTAATATTAGGGACAAAAACGCAACAATTCTCTACAAGAGAGTGGCAGCTAATTACAGCTGATACTCCAAAAATTATTGTATAAAAAGGCGGAAAAGGAATCTACGAGTCATTTAAGTTAGGATTATGCCAAAGAGATAATTTGTCAGCAGGTCTGAGGGCTGTTCACAATCTGCGAAAGCTCTCAATATTAATTTACTAGCTACTTTTCGGAGGAAGTTTCATAACAACTTGTTTGTATTTTAGCTCTAGTTTAGATAAGAAAAACCTTCAATAATAACTTAATACAGAGGGGCTACCACCCTATAAATAACCCTTAGATCCGCAGACAAATTATCACGTACGCGTAATCCTACTTTAAATGAGCTAAGAAACAAAAAATTATTGTGGGACAAAAACAACTTCCAATGAAAAATAATAATTTAGTATTGGAGCGTTTAGCACCCTCTAAATAACCCTCAAACCCGCTAACAAATTATCTCATACCGTCAATGAGTTAGGATACAAAAAATTATTGTGATTATAGTAGTAAACAGTTTGGTGCAAAATATTTCTTTATAGAGATAATTGTTTCGGTAAATATTTGTTAGATGAATTGATTAGATAACTTGTTTTTTCGAAATTTTTTTTTTTGGCTATTTGTTTTCGATTAATTTTTCCAGCCGTTTAAGGTCGTAGTACTGAACCGCATTATATTGACTTTAAGAAACACTTGTTGCAAGAATCGAAAAGCCTTTTTGAGACAAATGGATAATTCGGAAAAGTGCTACACAATTTGC